ACCTCACTTGAAGAGTACTTCCATATTGCTCGGAATAAGAGTATTGCTGCACGGAGATCATACCTGAAAGACACTAGAAAATCTTGCTCTATCTTAGGTAAAATGCACCTCCCAAAATTCTTGCGCTCTACCTACGTATCCAAGATAAAAAATCAGCCAGGCCACCAGCAAATCAATTCCGAACATCTCGTATGCATGGTAGTTTTCACTTGCCGTCAAGGACTAATACGAAATAGAGCACCAGTTCCTCGATTTCTGATGCTGTCGAGTACACATCCATCCACAGATAAGAGCATGAGTCCATACTCGTTCCCGTTTTTCTGCACCAGCCTCCAATTCCTATTGTACGACTCAGCCAATCCTGGATACCACGCAGGGCCTTACATATATCATGATAAGACTGACATCACTGCTTATCGTGCCAATATTTCCTTTTCCTTGAAGCATGTTGTCATCGTGTTCCCGTACACCCCATCAGCATCGTTGCCCTCCAGAACACACATTCCATGGCAAGACCAGACAGCGGTCATTCAAGCATTTACCCGTCCTTATTCCCGCTGCTGTTCTATTTATTACTCTCGGTTCCGATTCCCCGACTGATACGCGTCTGCGGATATAAGAACAGTACCCCGCCAAGACTCATCACACAAACATGATATTGACGTAGCACAACTTGGCGCACAAGTGAGAATGGTTGATTGAACCGCAAAATTCAGGAAACACACGCGCTATACACGGATCGACTCAGTAAAACTCAGTACCTTGTTGCCTATTGTTACTTCGCTGAGCCGCTTTCAATTCGGCGACCACATTCACTCGCAATATAGAAACAACTTGCCACATATCTCCTCCACAGCAGCCATGAGAAGACTACTCAAGGAACCTGGTCTGCCGCCCACGTCCACTTATCATGGAACGTCTTTTTCGTTATATCCGGAATTACAATCACGATGTTATTTTTTTCCGTTTCCTTTAGGCGAATTCTCGATCATCTTGACTCTAAGATGGAAGCAGAAAATGCTTCCAGCCGACCGGCGGAGACATCATTCACACATGTGCACATGCGAGTGCCGTTGTATGCCGATGTTGCCGCGCCGTCGGCATGGCCAAGCGTTTGTGGGCCGTTGTTTCTGCATCTGCATGTCTTCAATGCCGCTTGATACACGAGTATAATCCAGGCGTCGCCGAGAATTTCCAATGCATGACTTGTATACACGTCCGGATTTGGTCCGGAAAGGTTAAGACTTGCTCCGGCCTGGAGTCTAAGCGTAAAAACATTGTCTGGTCATGGGTAAGCACCATGCGAAAAACTTGAAGACGCGCTATAGACGCATCACTTCATAACCCTTAGTGGCGACATACTGGGAGTTATCGCTATATGCAAGAAGGCAATTGACGTAAGCAATCAAATTATAGAGTTGCTGGAGCATCCAGAACGATATGTAAAATGTACGAAGATATGAAAGTCGTCGAACGACTAATGGTGTATGCCTCTATGGTCTCTATCTAGCCTCGACTATTGCCCATTACGTGCTTGAGATCGTAGAGACTGATTGTCAGTCAAGCGCCAAACTCTCTACTCACCGCATTTTCCCCCACTGTATACCCTCCAACATATCTCTTCCCGTCTACCCTCCAACATGTCTCTTCACGTCAGTCCTCAGTCCTCCTTCACCTAGTACCTCATCTCCACCCACGCTTTGCCCACGCGCAGATATGATGGAGGGGATAGAACTCACAGCATTGATACGCCATTCATCGTTAACGATACCACGCGGGACGCGTGATCGCTGTCCACTGGCCCTGGGCGCCAGGTCTTGCCCCTGGACACGTCGAGCAAGCTTCGTTAGCTGTTGCAGCAGTCACAGCCTTGCAACATATGCCGAAGCTCCCTTTATCATTCTTGCCGATGGTCTTTTCCAAGACACAGGCCTTGTTCATCTCCGCCATTCCATTTCAGGTCTTGGTCTGGGTAGATCCTTGAATGTATCGTATCAGCTTTTACTAGAGAGATACATTCACTTCTAGGGGCACAACCTCTTTCCACTTACCGTCCAGTCGCAGAACCACCGAAAATCGTGGATCGCTTGGTCCCATTTCTCCACACTGGGACTGTTGCTCGTTGGACTCTCCGTAAAATGCTGGGAAAAACTCCTCACATTACAAGGTGAATTCCGTATACGTAAATAGTCACTCGGCTCCACCGATCTTCCAGTCACTCGACAAACATCATTCCGGGATGAGAGATGAGAAGTAATAGCTAGCCTCTCAAATACTGTATCATAGGCATCCCGATTTGCAGGTTCCCACACATCGCGATCCACAGTCTTTCCCCTATTCATGCCATCCCAATCCTGCCTTCCATACGTCCTTCGTTCAGCAGAGATCCATACCGGCATACTCACTATCTGTACAAAGTCGTCCTTGGCGAACCCTGCTTGGGAAGTCCTTTGCGAGCTTTCAATACGTGCACACTCATTAAACTGGTTCACCGTCTGCGTAGCTGTCGCAACCCTGCATATATTCCTTCCTGATACTTATACAGCAGGTAGTTCATGTCTGCCAACATTCGCTTCTCCCTATGCTCAGACGCATACGCTCTAGCCATACTAGTTTAGACCCTCTGCCTGAAGCTTTAGTATTCGTTGTCTGACATTTAGCTTGTTTCGGACTAGGTATTTGTGGTGTGAAGTCGCAGCGTCACACAGAAGAAAATTTCAATCACTGAATATCTAGCAGAGGCAGGAACAACCACGCGGCAAGCAGAATGGCAGACGTTCTACTCAATGAAAACCAATATCATGATCGAGGGCATGAGAAAATTGAGAACCAGGCTACTAGTAGCTGCTCATGATATGCTATGTACTTTCAACCATGTTTTGTTCAAGACGTGTGTGCCTTTGGGTGTTAGACACGACTAACTCTGCTGGTAAGCGAAGCGTGCCGCTGAAAACTTCTGCTTGAAATCGTACTGAGACATTATTGCGCTCTCCCACCCTTGCCCACGGTCGCCCAACGTGGCTACCACCCCCACTCGTGGTGATAACGAAGATTCTGCGCACTGTGCGCGACCTCCAGCTGGCGCTCTAAAAATCGAGGAGGGATTGAAAGAGAGTGCTAGGCTGTAAAGGTTGGACGGCACCCGCTGTAGCCGGAGGAAGGGCGAATAGATGTGGCCATGCGCAACATCCATCAGACGAGGGCAGCTGTCAATACGAATGAGAGAGAGGTCGGTGACGAGCATCGTGGTAAGCCTAGCAAGTGCTCATGACTTTGACGTGTTACTCACTGGATGCAGACGAGACCGAGCTTGCCTCGATTGAGATCCAAGAAGTGGACATGTTATCAGGAAGGTATTGGGAGGTTGTTGTGAGCCTTTGCAACATGGTTGAAGCAAGCACCGAAGCTTATCAGAGGGAAAGTCCAGTCAGAAACAGATACAATTTACGTTGGACTGGGAGAAAAAAGGCTTCGGGATTTAAAGAGGTGTCACAGTGATTTGAACGGCACGGCGGACAAGATGATCTTTAAGGTAAGACAACATATGCTGACATTGTTGCTTCTTTGTTGAAGAAGCATGGTATGCGTATTCTGAAGAAGAGTGTAAGGAAGGCCGGGGGCTCTGGTTCCTGTACTTGAGAAGCATGATATGGAAGGTCCGAAGGAGGTCATCGCGGAGGGAGAGGCCGCCTTGGAGACGGAATAAGGGCCCCAAGAGACGATCCTGGAGGCGAGATATAAATCCAAGGAATTGGAAGTGTCCTACGAAAGGAGAGTGGAAAAGTGTGGGCTGCTCAGTGGTGAGTTGAGCAATTTACGTGGAGTGTTGGCCAAATCGCAAAGATGGTTGGTGAATTGAAAACAAAGATAGGTGCAGCGATACTAGGTATCACTGATCGATTGATAGTCAGCCCTCTCGCTTTCAAGCATACCGTAAAGACGGATCTGACAAAGGTTAGAATTGGTGTCACTAGAATGAATCCATACCGCAGATGAGGTTGTAACAATGAACTATGAACTATGAATGCTTTAGTCTGGCGGTGGCATGACCTCTAACACATGCTCAAACTCTTAATCGCCAGGATTGTGCGAGATAAACCCTTCGCCTTTTCACTACGAATGATTATGTTGCTCCTCTGGATGATTCTTACTCGGCACGCGCATGAATTAGCTGATGCTGCAAAACCTCGTAGCCTTCTTTTGTTAGCGAGTCTCCGCCCTTTGTACTTCCAGACCTATCTGTTCTTAGTCACCATCTAGGTCACCTATTCAGAATCCCATTATCTGCGACAGAGGAGCAAATGTGTCACTTCACAAACTTACTTTTTAAACAAGCCCTGATCCCCTGTGCACATGTTCAGACCAAACCTTGAGCTTCTCAAAGGGGCACTCTCCTTGTGCATACGCTCGTCTATGCATTCCATCAAGAATGATACTCCGATCTCATTAGTAGTGAAGGCAAGATGAAAAGTTTGCTTAGATGTGAAAATAAGGATAAATGCCTGATCTAAAGATTGAGATTGGGGATAGAAAGAACCCTGTTAGCCAAACTAGGGCTGGTGTATGGCGACAATAACAATGAAGTGCGTGTCTCGAAGTTTGAGAGCTTGGACCTTGGCTCTGAGAGCCGCTGCAGCAGACTCACACCGACTGGATCCGTCCATAACCCTTGCATACTGCGTCCTGAAGAATGTAGGGGCGCTGTGGCAACTGAGAACAATGACAGTTGTACCCAGATTCTTTCACCCATTTATAACACACGTCTTGAGACCGATAGGGTTCTCTTCACGATAATTTACCTGCAAGATACGTCATTCCATTCCAGATATTGATGTTTCCGGCTAGTTGTACGTATCGCGTCTCACTTGAAAACCCGGCGCATGTTGGTAATACTCCGCCCGTGTGACCTCATCTCCACTTGGTGTCTGCTGTTGTGTGTGTAGATGGAACTGCTGCATACGTGAACGTAGCGTTGGTGCGTCTCGGTGTACGTCTTGCTGCTAGTAGGCGTTCTGAGGTACTTGGTAGCCACCCATCTGCGGTTGCTGGGCCTGAGCCTGGGCCTGAGCTTGCATCTGCGCCATTTCCTGCTGCCTCTGTGGCAGGTCATTGAACCAGGGGTGCTGAAGTGCGTTCGCGGCGGATATGCGCATCTCTGGCCGCAACTGGAGCATACAGTTGAGGAGGCTGAGACCGACCTGGTCGACTTGTGGCAGTATAAGGCGTAGGTCCTGGGTGTGGTAAACAGGAAAGTTGTTCTTGTACTCTGGCAACTGCGAGATGCCCGGCCATGATCGTTCAGATGGTGTGCCCATAAGCCTGAAGATCTTCTGAACCTGGTCCTCGTTGGTGGTTCCTGGAAAGAGCGGCCGCCCAGTGTACATCTCGGCCATGATGCAGCCTGCCGACCAGATATCGATACTTGTGTTGTAGGTTCTGCTGCCGAGCAGGACGTCAGGGGCACGGTACCATAGAGTTACGACTTCATTTGAGAAGGTATTTACGGGGATGCCAAAAGCGCGAGCGAGACCGAAGTCGGCCAACTTCAGCTGGCCGCGGTTGTTGATCAGGAGGTTCTGGGGCTTCAGATCACGGTGGAGGACGCGGGCCTCGTGGCAAAAAGCGATTCCTTTCAGCAACTGGTACATGAAGGACTTGATGGTTGCAGGGTCCAGAGCACCGCGGTCACCCCGCGAGTCCATATACCTCTTGAGATCCTTGTCCATGAATTCGAAGACCAGCATGAGCTTGTTCTCGGTATGTATGACATCGTGTAGCAGGACAATGTTCTCGTGTCGCAGCTCCTTCATGAGCGAGATCTCGCGGATAGCGGTCGAGGGCGTGCCTTCCTCCGAGTCAAGGTGTATCTCTTTCAGGGCTACCAGCTCGCCCGTCTGGCGGTTGCGGCCCTTGAACACCTGAGCGAGTTAGCATGCAATGTGTGAAGTGCATTGTGGCTACCTACAGTAGCATATGTTCCCTCGCCAAGCTTCTCCAGCTGCTGGAAGGAGCTGGGGTGTCTTCTGTTGTCCATGGTAGGTACGATGGGCACAGTGTGGCCGTCGCCGAGGTTGCGGACGCTGATGGACGAGTCGGTGCGCTGCGGGGCTACAAGAGTGCCGGCGTGGACTGGCTTGAGACTGCCCGGGGGCGCTCGCGAGGTAAACTTGGGGTCCCAGAGGATGGCCGAGGCGGTCGTGAGCTGGTTAGCAATGCGCAGAGGTGAGGGCGGGCGGGACTTGTCGGGGATTGGGGCTGGTGACGCCGTTTTGGTGATGTGGGCAGAGAAGAAGTGGGCGAGGGGAGATGGTTAAACAAGGGTCTGGTCGCGATAGCAGCAAAGGTGGAATGGATCTTCGTCGGCGCTTGTGTCGAGTTCAACGTTGCGCGAGTCGATGAGTGGCATGTGGGTGGATTTGGTGGGGCCGCCAGAACAGCCGCCTGACTGTGCGCTCCTTCACCACACTAGCTGCTATTTCTGGATGCAGTAACCCACCATGGTGCTTTGGAGCATTTCCATTGGACGCTACCAAAAATGACTGAGAACAACAATGCCAACCAACGCCACATCAACGGCGCCATGAGCGCTTTAGCAATATACTTCGTTCATCATTCCATGAGTGCTACGCCTCAAGCATACTCTTCACCCACCCAGGCACACTTGGTCTCTTCTCCCACCCCTCTTTCCACCCCTCCCTCCACCCTTCCTTACTGGCAGGCATAGCAAACACCGCCGTAACCAACCACGCAGTTTCCCCTTTCTTAATGTCCTTTTGCACAATGGGCAGCACCGTCCTACTCTCGACAAGATTGCTGTTCGCATCAGCCAGGATTACACTACCCTGTCGTTGGCTCTGGTAGATATCCGTGATGCCGATTGCGCCTGTACGAGGCGAGGCTGCGAAGGCGGATGCATGGTCTGAGGCGGCGCCTTCGGGGACTGAAGTATCTAATTTACGCAGTGTACCGTTCCATTCAGTGAGGAGGCGACCGTCAGACTCGCGTGCGCCGTACACAGCCCATGCGCCTTCTGCGCTCTTGACGTCTCGACCCGAAACCACACGATGGACGCGCAGATGCCAGTTTGGTGTATCCTCGGCTGGCGGGATCAGATACGATGTTATCTCCACATCGCTCCATGGCTTCATGCTCGACACCAATACAGGCACTCCATCGCGATCCTCAATCTGCGAATCACCGTTAAGCGCCCTCCGCATCTTCCACAGCTCGCCTCCGTCGTCAGAGAAGGCGAGTTGCGACTCTGGCACGAATTGTTCGAGTTCCTGGTAACCAGTGGAAACAGAGTATGCAAAGGCGGCGCTGTAGGCGAACTTACCGTACTTGGCATTGCTGTTCTTGATAGCGTAGTGGCAAGACTGACCGCTCGAGAGGAGGAAGGTGTGGCCGCCGGACCGGCAAACGATTTGACGTGGATGAGGGAGCGAACGCACAACGCGGGTGTTGGCAAAAGGATGTGGCTCTTCTTTAGCAGACCAGAAGGGATGTGATTCTGGGACTGCGAGACAAGCAAAGGCGAGCATGCACCAGTATGGGCTTTGCGGCGAGTTATAGTTCTCGGCTAGGTAGTAATTGGGGTACGAGTAGCCCACTGTGAGCATGCCGTTGGACTGGAAGATGTCGTGTTGCGTTGTCCACCAACGTAAATTGCGCATCCAAATTCCCTTAACTACGCCCCAGGAAAGAGGTTCAGGAAGCTCGAGGTCAGCGTAGGCGACGGCGCCCCAAAAGGCTACCATGGCCCATCGATACGTCAACGAGCGACCAAAGGTGATGGCGCGGCCTTCAGGGTCAAAGTAATGGACAAAGTCAAGAGCGTACATGTGTGCGCGCTTCTTGTACTCTTCGGCTTGCTCCGGGTCAATGTCTGCGGCGAGTTTAGAGTAGAGGAGCTGCAGGTATTGGATCGCAAAGGATCCGGAGTAGTAGTCCATCTGGCGATATGTGTCAGGTCCATCGTTGGACCAGCCATCACCACGATAGTACGTGTTCAGCTGCTTGATATCCTTCTCTAGCTGCTCTTTTGACCACTTCGCCCCATTCCTCTCGAGTCCCAGATTGGCGAAGACGCGGAACCAAAGCCTAGCGAAAACTTAATATCACACCTCAAGATACAGCATGACAGAGACTTGAAGAAACAAATGGCTAGCATACCAGTTTGTATCCGGCATCTTCTTATCGTTCATACTCCCTAACCACGTCTCCACATTCTTCTTCTGCTTGTCCGTCAATGGATCCCAAAACTGTTTATTCGCAACAGCAAGCGTGAATCCAATCGGGCACGCCTCCACCATCCTCTGATCTGTATCCTCCATGTACCCCCAGAACTCTGGGCTCTCAGGATCCGTACCAGAAATGAGGCCTTGAACAAACTTGTCGGTTGCTGGATACTTGCCGCCACCAGCTAGCAGCGGTGCGAGACCCCATAGTGGGCGTGCGAAACCCTCAACCTGAGCGCCTGTCTCATCAAAGCGTGTACCTGTGGAGCCTACCTTGATCAAAGCATTGTCTGGAGAGAAACCAGGAATGAGGGGATCCAGCAGTGAACCTACGGCGGCAACAACATCGTCACGCGTCTTGAGCGGATTCGTGGAGAAAGGGTGCAGGTCGAAAGCCCGATTGGTATTTGCTGTCGTGGCTGTCATGCTTCCGGTTTCCGGTGCCCTAGGGTAGTTGCTTCTGCAAGTGGCTGACCACAATCGATACGATACGTCTCTACCTGGCTGGGCCGACTGACGGTGAATATGCAAAGCAAACTTCCGTGTCCGCTATCTCCGCTGCGCGGGCGATTACGTTCAGTTTCCTTGGCGATAAGTTTGTCCAGAAATAATCTTGACGTGAGCTGCTGATGGATTGGTATTGGTGGTGTTAAGCGCAGCCGAAATGCCCAGGAGCCCAGAACTCCAAGACGGAAGCAACCTGTACAAGCTGCGGATTCGGGCGTGATGAGGCAAAAAGGCTTGATTCCGGTATTGATTTTCGCCGCAGTCGTTTACACGAGACGAATGTTTATTCCAGTATTGACAGTCTTGAGGCTCTTCTTGCGTGGGGCTGGTGGTGCGTCTTAAGTGGTGACTGCAGGTGTTGAGTGTCGCAACTTCCACCGAGGTTCGCGACACCAAACCCCGAAGCTTCTGTTTTGCCTGAAAAGCTACAAAGTATCCATCACCCCACGACCATATTCGACAACTCGTGGACGTCCATTTTGCCTACATGAACCGTCACCTCTCCACAGCATCCACAATCCTTTGCAATCGACCCATCACGCGTCGGCGCGACCGTGGGGCATCCATGACCCCGACCACTTCGCAGGTCTAATACGCGGATAAATGGCCACAACAACCGTAGCGCCTGCTATCAGCGGGGGTCAGCATCTTACCAGACCAAACACGGAAAGGCTGGCCGTTGCTCAATTCTCCCCCAACACTCGAGAGTGGGGACACCCCAGACTGGTCTGCCGACCTGGGGACATGGCTCTTGGCAAGTCTTGTTTCATTGAAGTTGCAACGCCACGCTTCCTCGCAACTGGACGGAAAAAGGCGCGGACTTGGCGGTTCCAAGACGGCCTTTCACTGACTCCACAAATCCCACCACGAGGTTTCCGCCGAGCCAAGACAACATCACCACCATGCTCTCTTTGAAAAAGTGCGGTGCTGGTTCTGAATCGACCCCATTGGCCGGAGCCACGAGGACTCGTCCATCTAACAATCTAGCTACCTAGTCTGGGGAAGTCGGTTGGCTCTAGCGGCAGCAGTGAGAGCTGTCTGTGGAGGATTCGGAACGTGGAGTCTGGGGTCTAGTCTGGGGTTCACAATAGCTTGAGGCAAGATGGCAAAGACCGCGGCGTTGGACCAGGCAGTTACCCCGTCTTGAGCAAGGAGCTAGTGCTGCGAGGATAGCGGGATAGCGCATGGGCCGCAGTACCATCCTGTTTATATAGATTGTCATGCACATCCCACTGGGGTTTTGAACATCAGTTTGCGGAGACATCTCTCTCTTCACTCATTCCCTTCGAGCTCCATCTGGTGCCGTACACCAGCGTCTGGTCCAGGGTCAGTTTGAGGTTTAGCAGTCGCCCATCGACAAGGTATGTATTCTGTCCTATGTTACACAACATCATGCATGCTAACGATAAGATAGATATATCTTTATAGCCAGCCGATACGGTAGAACATCGCCAACTATCCGCCGCCATGTCGTCTCCATCCGCCGGTGCGAAGTTCATTCGCATGATTGTCAAGAACGACTCCATCAAGACTGATCCTCATGAGATTTACGGATGGCGCGCCTTCGCCATGGCTGGTTCAGCCTGCTTCGGTGGCATGTTGTTCGGATTCGATATCGGAACCATTGGTGGTGTACTTGAGCTGAAGGAGTTCCAAGAGTATGTGCTCCCTCTATACCTATTTCCGTCTTCACGACACTGACATGACATGTAGCAAATACGACATTACCAACCTCGACAAGGTCGGCAAGGCCAATTTGAACGCCAACATCGCCTCAACTCTCCAAGCTGGCTGTTTCGCCGGTTGCTTCGTCGCCTCGTGGTTCGCCGATCGCTGGGGTCGTAAGATGGCACTCCAAGTCGCTGGTCTCGTGACCATTGTCGGTTGCGTTATCCAAGCCGTTGCCATGGGTTCACTTGAGGCCATGTACGTCGGTCGCTTCGTCGCTGGTCTCGGTGTCGGAGGCGCCTCCATGGTTGTCCCTCTTTACATCTCAGAAAACGCTCCTCGTGGTATCCGTGGCGGTCTCACCGGTCTTTACCAATTGGTAAGTTGTGCCTCTACGAAATGCATGTGAGACATACACTGACTCGTATTTAGTTCATTGCTACAGGAACCTGTGAGAAATGGCCCCGTACGAACTGCATGTAAACCAAATACTGACAGAGATAGGTCTCGCGTTCTGGGTGAACTACGGATCGCTCATGCACCTCTCCGGCGGTGCGCAAGTCTACATTGTCCCTCTCGCTCTTCAAGCTCTTCCCGCTGTTCTCCTTGTCGGCTGCATGGCCCTGAACAAAGAGTCGCCCCGTTTCCTTGCCAAGCAAGACAAGTGGGAAGAAGCCACTACCGTCCTTGCCCGCATGCGAAACCTGCCATCGTCTCATGCTTACGTCCAGGACGAGATCAAGGACATCGCCGATCAGCTCGAGCACGAGCGTATGCTTGTTGCCGGTGCCAGTGTTAAGGATCTTCTCAAGGAGATGTTCACCATCCCTGGTAACCGCAAGCGCGCCCTCATCTCCATCGGGCTTATGATCTGCCAACAGATGACTGGAACGAACGCCATCAACTACTACGCACCTCAAATCTTCGCCGCCCTCGGACTCAAGGGTAACTCGGTCAAGCTTTTCGCTACCGGTATTTATGGTATCGTTAAGATGGCTGGATGTTTCGCCTTCTTAATCTTCGCCGCCGATTCTCTTGGTCGTCGTCGTTCACTCCTCTGGACTTCGATCGCACAAGGACTAGCCATGTTCTACATTGGTATCTACATGCGTGTTGACCCGCCCGTCGCGGGAGAGCCCGTACCGGGTGCCGGATACTTTGCCCTTGTCTGTGTGTTTCTCTTCGCCCTCTTCTTCCAGTTTGGTTGGGGACCAGTTTGCTGGATCTACGTGTCTGAGATTCCCGCCGCACGTCTCCGTTCCCTCAATGTTGCCATCGCCGCTGCTACTCAGGTAAGTTCTGACTGTATGAGATGCACGTGGGGTATGTACTGATGTTATACCAGTGGCTCTTCAACTTCGTCGTCGCTCGCGCTACTCCCAACATGATGGCTACTATGGGTCAGGGTGGTTACGGAACTTTCTTCACTTACGGTTCATTCTGCTTCGCCATGTTCATCTTTGTCTGGTTCCTCATTCCCGAGACCAAGGGTCTGTCGCTCGAGAAGATGGACGATCTCTTTGGTATCACTGAGCTTGTCAAGAACATGGAGGCTGACCGCGAGAACCACGCCCATGGCACTGAACTCGACATGGACGGCAAGAACTCGACTGTTGTCCGTGAGGAGAAGGTCGGTCACTAGACGACTGTATGCGAGATTTGTTGCTGCCAGTTTGTTTCTGGTCGAGGCTAGGCTGTCGTTACTTAGCATTAGCATGATGATTTAATGAAGTCACGAGCTTCGTGCCACTCTTTGCACAAACACTTGTTCAAGACCGCATATGGTTATGTGGAGAATGTGACATGTGAGAGAGAGAGAGAGAGAGTAGGTGCCAAAGCAGCGAGCAGCAAATTTGGTTCGTGACGTGTTGTATACTCATGTTTGCAATAATCGTACAACTTGGAAGAAGCTCAGTGCAACCTCAAATGTGTGACAAAATTCCGCTAACGCCATATGCATGAATGGACAAAGTCAGCATTGTGACTGTCGCTGGGTGCGAAGCTCAAGCATCCTTAACAGGGGCTTCGTCGGCATCCAGAATGCCTTTCTTGACAAGCTCTTCCGGGCTTGGCCTGCTCTGCAGCCCCTTCTCCAGACTATCCGCCTTCATGTGCATTTCGAGTTCCTTCTGGTGTCCCTGTAGAGCAGGCGCAGCGTTGGAGGCGGGGAGGATGTTGCGGTCGACGAGCTCGGCGCGTTCAGGACGGGAGTTGAGGCCCTTCTTGAGATTGTCGGTTGCGCGCTGGCGCTCGAGCTCGAGGGCCTTGGCTTGGAGAGCACTGTTGCAGATTGGGCGTTAGTGAGGCTGTTGTAGAGGAAAGAGCTCCCTCCAGTAGAGCTCCATGAGCTTGCCGGGGTCAGGAACATACGGCGCAGTAGTGGTGTCTAGCAGGATATGCCTGTTCTTCAGATCCTGCGGTTCCGGACGATGCTGCAGGTGCTTCTCCAGACTGTTGCGCCTGTCTAGAGAGCGAACGGGAGAGATGGGCGTCTCGTCGACAATGTCAGTGTGCTCGGACGTCATGTTGGCAATTGTTGTTAGTCGCTCAGGAAGATGGGATAGTAAGTGAGGTTGGTGACTTGCGATCAAAGGGGCTGCTACGGGTACTTAAGGAGAGTCTCAGTGTGAGACGAGAGGGGAGAGGTGCCTTCCAAGGTTGCTCTGTTGCATCGCGCCTTGGTTGCGGGGCAGCCGCCTACCGAATCCCTGCAGCGATACAGCAGGGATCAGGCGCGTGCCGTCACCGCGTCACCTTACGTCGGATGAGCAAAAAGACGCACCCCCCCAAGGCGGCAAGACATGATCGTGCTGCCTTGATTTTCGCGTCAGACGGAGCCTTGTCTGACCAGCATCGAGTCCATGCGCGAAGCGATGAGCACATGCCGCACGTTTCATCCCTAGCGACACTTTCTTGACGCGGCGCCGAAAGGTTGCCATGTGAGGCGGCTTGGGCATCTGCAGTCGATCTTGTCGAGGAATGCCCAAGTACCTGGACTAGCAATCACCGCCCCACTGCTAACGTTTTTGTGTAGATTTCGCGTCCTGGTATTCATGGTATGCTAGATAATACGACACATCAACGCCAACCAAGCTGCCTTTCCCCACGTCTACTCGTTGTCGCACCTCCCAGCATCATCAATCCTTCTTACAAGCCGTAACTGTGGCAGTTGCAGTTCCTGGAACCGTCGTAGAGACCCGGCAACCCTACGAATGTCACCATAATCAGCTTTCCCAATCTACGATGCTGGAAAAGAGACACTCACAAGCCCTACGCCCAAAACCTTCGTCTTCAGCGCGCATCCACCGCAGTCCGTGTACACAGTCGAAGTAGTCGTGGTTCCATAGAAGGTGCAGTTAAACTGGCGAGGTGGCGATTTGAATACATTGACCACGCAGTCTGCTGATGGTGTGGGCGTGGGAGACGGCGAGGTAGGGCTGACCGAGAATGCGCTGGGTTATACGTCAGGGTATGGAAAACGGCGCGGCTAGAATTATCTTACGGTTGCATAAGAAGTGCCGCAAGCACAATGGTAAGGACTGACGATAACATGGTAGACTATAAAGGTCTCACTAATGGATGACCAAACAAGAATACAGCGACACAGCCAAGAACACTTGAATATATAAGAGACCTCAACAAGGGGATCGGAACACGCGGATCACTATTTCCATGCGGCATATCAGATTGAGTGGTTCGGCGGTAAGCCGGGACGCGGTCCTGAACAAAGTACGAGATCAATATCATTATCGCATTAACTACATACGTCCACATCATGGGCGTCCAATCCCGTAACTATTGACAAGCCCCCCAACTCCATTGATGAAAAGCTAGATCATTGAGGAGAACTACTGACTAAAAGGACAGTAGGAAACAGACACATGCCGCGTAAGCTTTTTCTTTCATCCCAGGTTCCGGTCCCATCACAGGCGAACCACTCTTGTCAAAGCATTCTGTAGTGAGAGTGATACAGATTAGTGCATTTAAGCACCGTCGTCCTCACCGATGCGGATGGCACCCTCGCGGCTGAGACCGTTAGCCCAGAAGCCGTTGAGCTCAACATCGCTCTCGCGCATGTTGGCGTGGGCAACAAGGAGCCAGGCACCGAAGACAGCCTTGGCAAGGACATCGAGGATAGCGTAGGAAATGATTTCAGCATCAACGCTTGCCTTGCGGGCACCGTCGGCAACACCCCAAACACTGCGAAAGTATTAGTGTCATGAAGAGAAGGGATACGATGACGGATAAACTTACATGGGGTAGGCAGTCCAGAGGATGGCAGTGTAGACAGCGATGGAGACGAAGAAAGTGCGGAGCTTGTCACCTTTGGCGCGGGCGTTGGCGCCACCGTTAAGGCCAAGGTGCCAGAAGATGAAGATGAAGGCAATGCAGGCAATTGTGTACCAGCCCCACTTCTGGGGAGTGTCCTCAGTGCCGAAGGCAGCAAACAGACCAGTAAGAACCATGATCAAGTCGGCAACGATCATCATGATCATGTGTCCTCCGGACATACCAGCAAGGAGACCGAGATCGAGGAGCAGGAGAGGGGTGGTGATGCTCCAGTCGACGTAACGGGCCCAGTAGACCTGGCGGTAGGTGGTGGTGTAGGTGTCGGGAACGTGGTCATGTTGCTCGCGCTCGACAATCTTGTTCAGGGAAACACCGTGTCCAGTGGCCATGGCGAAGTAGGAGAGGGCAGCCGTGAGGGTGATGATGGTGGTGATGACATGGTAAAGGCGCTTGTTCTAGCAGGGTGTTAGGCATTGCGTTTCAAGTCACTCGGAACGGAGTCCTTACCAATGGGACCTTCCATGACATGACAGTGAATCCAGCAGAGGCGATCAGCATAAGGACAAAGACAACCCAAAGCGTCTTCTGTCCAGCATCGCCAGCAACCTCGTAGACAGGCTCGCTGCCGGGGATGACAGTGGGAACGGGAGCAACCGAAGGCAGAGATGAGGCCGTTGCCGTGGGCAGCGGGAACATCTCCGAGGTCTTCTTCAAGACTTCCTCAATCATGATGGCGATTTGGTGTTGTAAATTGACTCCGGGACCTTGACAGCAACTGTATGTGCTGACGAGTGATCGATGGGAGAGTTGACAGTGAGATGAAGGAATAGAGTGAGACGAGGCGGAGTTATAAAGAGGAGAAGCTAGGCAGCTATGCGGTCACCTGTTGGAGCTGCGGCAGGAGCTATACGAAACAGGAATCGAGACGTCATAGCCCCTCACGGCATGCGCTATTGATTGGTTCCCGCTACGGCCTGCGTGAGAAGCAAGGATGCACGAACATCAGCTCGCGCCTAACAGATTCAAATCAAGGGTCTGAACTCTCTGCGCGAATGCACTCATTAATGCACTGGAGCTGTCATGGCGGCCGTCAATGGCGTCTTCTGCACGCGTGGTTGAGGCATTGGAGTGTCCTCGTCGAGTGGGGCTGGTTGCTACGCGAAAGAGTACTTTGGTACATCATCAATGCTTCACCGCGCCAAGCCGTCCAGGATGTTCCCCACAGCAACAAAGCGCAGTGTGCACGCCCTCGGCTGCTCGCGTCTAGCCTCACAAACAGGTTTCAGTACCACCGATTGTATTAACTTTTCGATCCCCCTCTTCCGTGCGCCGATGTTCATTTCCATGTTGCATGTCTCGATCGCCTGGATTCCATCAAGTCGCTGACATCGCCATGGCCATCGAACCCAATTGTACATGCGACGACCCCGCCCTGTCGCGCATTGGCGGGTACTCTACATCTCACCAGTCGATAGCCCCTCACGGTGGTGTGATCTGATCCAACCATTCAGAGCTTCTGAAGAGCTGAAGCGGGCCGAAGTGCATACGTTTTGTTGTTATAGGGAGTATCCTGGACTCTTTACTGTCTGAGACGACGTGCATCTACATTTCTGTCTTTGTCGACGATGCCCGGTACATATCCTCGGATCACGCGGCAGCGCGTGAGGAGATTGCGGAGACTGCGCCTATCACCACATCAGTTGGTTCCGTCTGAACCTAAATGCAGTTACAACGAGCATCGCGACACGCCCAGCCTCAGCATATTACTCAACGGGGCCATTTGCCAAGTTTTGTGACAGCCTCGCCATCTCAACACAAGTATCCCGCTACTTTCTCACCACTCCATCACGGCGTAGTTCATATTCTTACTTTCGCGCCTGCATCCATAGGCATGTATTGTTGGGTGGTGAGCTCATCGGAATTTGGGTTGTACTTTGGGTGCGGACATGCTTGGGATGTTCATTTTTTTCCCTTGGTTCGTCGAAGTGCGCGCTGAAGGTGTCGTGTTTCCAGATCTATTTCAATTTCATCCACTTGATACCGCCCCAGAGTTTAAAGTGGACGCGAACTTCTCCATGGTAGGATTGTTGAGGGTTCGCCTCGAGTAAGTCGAGTCGCGCTAACATCGTGGCTGACTAAGTTGGCAGTTGCCGAACGCTCGTTCGCCGCGTACTAACAACTTCATCGTCGCGCATGCTGAATACCAACACCATGGTTGACACAGATCCCACGTTCTTTTCATATCCTAATAGCTCTTCAATACGTCCCCCACGAATGACAGCCACGGTGGACGCGATAGGCCTCTTATCAATGCACCAGTGGAATATTCGCTCTTAGCGCACCATCACGGTACTCTGGGTAAAGCTCTTTTGGCATATGGCCCGTCGTCACATCCTCCTACCGGCGCTCTGCCTCGTAAGTTCTTATGAGGCCTTTCAAGCTTTTCTTTCTATCCATCAGGGTGCTTAATTGCCGTCAAATGTCCACTATATAGTGCTTGTTGTTGCCCAAGACTGTACAAGACACGTACCGCCGAGCCGGAACCAAGCTTCTCTGCATACCCAAGAAAGCTTACTGGATTCTGCTGCTCCGCTGGACCACTACCAGATTTCCGGGCCCGAACCAACGAGAGATCAACAATATTGAAGACCCTTTTGGTCAAAAATACCTTAGGCGAATACTTTGCAACACCGCCCTTCTTCATCTATTGCAAGCTCTTTCCATACCACTATGGCTTCTACCGCTTTCGAGATTGCACGCCTTGTGCTGCGTCAAGATCAGGGTGCAGAGACACAGCCCGACGAGGTCATCACTTGTGGCAGCGACAACGAGTATGATGGCCGTATGGGTACCCGCATCTCGTCCATTTTTGTGATCATGGTGGCATCTACCTTCGGTATGTACAATAATCTCTCCTTGATCTTTGCACGCTAACATCACATAGGTGCCATGTTCCCTGTTCTGGCAAGACGTACGCGCCACAAGTTGGTACCTAACTGGGTCTTCTTCGCTGCAAAGTACTTTGGTTCAGGTGTGATCATCACCACTGCATTCATCCATCTTCTCGCACCAGCGAACGAAGCACTGGGTAACGAGTGTCTGACCGGTGTCATTGCTGCATACCCTTGGCCTGAGGGCATTGCCCTTATGACCCTCTTCCTTATGTTCTTCCTTGAGCTCATGACCATGCGTTATGCCAAGTTCGGTAATGATCATGATCATGAGCATAGCCACGCACCTACAGGAATCCCACCCGCGGCGCACGCCGAGGACTACAACAGCTTCGACAACAACCTGAAGGAGCAAAAGGCGGGTGACATTGAAGGGTCTGCAGGTACCAACCCTAACATGCGCGGAGAAGATCATCTTGGCCATCAACGCGACCACGTTGACCACGAAGCTGAGTCGAAGTCCGATATGACGCCTCGCGCTCTCGTACCAGAGGGTTACGCTTCCCAGCTGACGGCCGTCTTCATCCTCGAGTTTGGTGTCATTTTCCACTCCATCTTCATCGGTCTCACACTTGCTGTCTCTGGCGAGGAGTTCATTACGCTTTACATCGTCTTGGTGTTCCACCAGATGTTCGAGGGCCTTGGGCTGGGAACGCGTCTGGCTGAGGTTCCCTGGCCAGCATCCAAGCGCTGGACACCGTACCTCCTTGGTCTAGCTTATGGTCTCTCCACTCCCATCGCTATTGCCATCGGCCTAGGTGTCCGACAATCGTTCGCTCCCGAGTCACGCACTACACTGCTTACCAATGGTGTTTTTGATTCTATCAGTGCTGGTATCCTGATCTACACTGGACTCGTCGAGCTCATGGCCCATGAGTTCATGTTCAGCCCTTACATGCAAAAAGGCCCTGTCAGTCGGACACTCAAGGCTTTCGGCCTCATGGTCCTTGGTGCTGGTCTGATGGCGCTCCTGGGTTACTGGGCTTAATCGACGTGTCACGTGGTTCATGGTTATTTTTTCTTCTACATGTTCATTGTTTGCTTTTCTGGATACCTCTAGGTCAATGCTGGCTCTATTGTCGCTTTTCTGTTCAGACAGAGGAATATGTAAGAGAAAATTGCAATAGACAAACATCTTTAGACGGATTCAAAAATATTCATTGTTTCAATATTCGACTTGATGTCGTCTTACAATGCTTGGTCCCGTGTACGTCACAGCTCAGCTCAGCAGACCGCCCGAGCAATCATCGCGAAGATAGTACAAGCTCTACATGGCTAACAAGTGAAAAGGTGATGTATGTATTGGCTATGTATGTGTTTGTATATAAACGCTTGAAGCGGGGGGTATCATTAAAACTGACTGACTGCACACACAAAAGCCCAATACGCGACCCAATCTTGTCAAAGATTGTTCAAGGCCGTAGATTCAGACATTATCAAATAAACGAGAGTGTACATTGCGGCCGTGAAAAGAACGAACAATCAAAAACAAATGAAACGGTCGTAGGGGCGTCGAAATCACATTCGACGCATTGTGCCGTTGTGCGCCAGTAGTGTGAAAATGCAGACCAGCAAAGGTGTCCTTTATAGTAAACGCCTGTTCCCATGCTGCAAACAAAAGTTGGGTATGTAAGATGGGTATGTGCAAACTGGAAGAAGCGAAAATTTTTATGGTTATGATGCTTCCAGGGCGTCGATAGACGCATGGAGATATCTGATTCGCTCTTCAAATGGCGAGCCAAGTGGGCTGAGGGTCTCGTGCTTCTTCAGGTCCGTTTCACGTGTCGTTGCGTACGAGATCCATTGCCCTGGCAGTTTGGGACGGAACTCTTTCACAGGACTCCCAGATGGGCCCTCGTCCACCGGAGATGCTGCCCGAGACTGGTCGCTGTCTTCCTCCATGTGTTCAAGACCTTCGAGGTCTATGCCACTGTCTCGGTCGATGACTCGGCTCTGTTGTGGGAAGAACGGAGAGTCCAGAGCTTCTATGGCGCTGTGTATTGGACTCCAAGGGCTGAGGAGGCCCCTGGATTCCCGCTTTTCGCTGATATCGTTGTCGTCGTCTTCTGGAACAAGTACGCGGCCACCTACTTTGACATCGCTGACGTGCACTTTGTACTCCAATGCCTTTTGGCCATCCTTAATCAGTTGCTCTGTCCACCCGAGACATTTCTTTAGACTCTGATTCATCTTCTGACTGTCGTTGAGCATCTCTCGATGTTTTGAGAGGTCTAACTGGAGACGCTTCTCGTCTCGTGAGCGATGTGTTTCATCCCGCTCCAGTTGCGCGCTTGGGCTCAAAGCGCTGTCGTCGAAAGAAGAGTCGCTACTTTCCGGGTCCTCATCCTCCTCTTCAGGTGTTTCTTCTTCTTCCGCCTCGGACATGTCAGACAAATCTCCTATATTACCAGCGCCAATAGCCGAGGTTTCCAGGGGTTCGCCAGTCGTGTCAGCAGAAAAGACTCCAGCTCGGCTCATGCGACGGAAGCGTCTGAGTTCAGCCTTTTGCTTTCGAACTTCTTTTTCCAAGGACCGATTGATAGCAAGAAGCGAGGAGTTACTGATCTCGAGGTCAAGCACTTTACGTTCCCTTCGTGCGTTGGCAGCAAGCTCGTTCATCATCTCGAGCGCACTCTTGCCATCACTGTTTCTCGATGGACTGCCGGATACTGGAGATCCTATAGGGGAGAACGCAGTCAAGCGTGGAGAGGGCGTAGCTGCTGCATCGCCAGGAGCACGATTTTCAGTATGTAGCGGGCTTGGTGCCATAGCGGATGGTTCAGCAGTCGGTGCCTTTTTCAAGCTAGTCACAGAATCGATTGATGACAGGCTAGAACTCTTGACATGTCCTCGCTTTATAGTAGAGGCAACACTGGACCTGCGTCTGGTGCGATCAGACACATCCGGCGTGTTCGGTCCAGCCAAGATGGCCAAAGCCGAGTTTCCAGAACTGCCTCTACTAAGAGCTGGCCGGACCTGAGAGGCTCCCTTGCGATACGACAGATGCGCAAAGTCTTTGGTAGGGGATGGTGGACGCAGCGACTGTAGGTTCTCAGAAGGCGGGAGCAGATCTGGCGACATGGGCATAACTGGCGGAGTGAGGATGGGCTGGCGGTCTTTTTTCTCGGAAAGCGAGTCTGCGTGGAAGAACTTGCTCTCTGGCTGAGCCCTGCCGACAGATGACAGCGGTGGCGACGGCACGTTGTGTTTGGGAGGGGCGTCATCTTGTCTGCCATCGGCGTAGAAGAAGGTAGGTGTTTTCTTTGGGGGTGCTGTTGCCAGTACTGGTGCCGGTTGCTCGTGCGGGCGGGCGTCGTTGGCATGGAAAAACAGCGACGAAGCGTCTTTCCTGGAACCCGTCTCGGACGGGGCATTGTTGTAGGCGCCAATCGAAGACCTCGGGGTTGGCGTGACATGGCTGCTGCTTGGACCCGGAGTACTGCGCGGGCGGACTCCGACTGAAGAAGCACCGCTCTTTCCCACGGCACTGTGTCCACTGTGAAAGTCTACCGTGGACCCTGGCCGCGAGCTGCTCGGCGTGGCGGAGGGAGTGCCGCTGGGTGTCGACGAGGTGCTGTCTACACCGACGCGGGATTTCCTCGAAGAAGAGCGAGGAGTCACATTGCTGCTCAGGAAGGCCTTGACAGGCGTTACGTCGTTGTGTGCGGAAGCAGCAGGCTTGGCCGGGGTGGTTCCATTGCTGGTGCGGGTGGTGCGGGTGCTCGATGAGCTAACGGTGGAGGAGGCGGTGGGCGCAACCGCAAGTCGAGGGGTCAAGGGCGTCTTCGCAGCAGTTCGGTTACTAGCGAGCGTCGGCTTCAATGGCCGTGGGTTATTTCGGTCGGTTCGTTCGATGGGCATCCTCTAGGGAGTGGTGCAGCTATAGGGTAGGTGTTATGCTGCGTGTGCGGAGGGAGATCATGGCCTTCCGGGGAGGCTACAGGTGGTTGCTCGGGGGTAATGGCGGTGTTGATGGTGGTATGTTGATGGCCGCTAGTAGCGTGTCGGGTGTCTGCAGGGTCGAAACAGCAGCGAGCTCTACGTGTATTGCCCCACTTCTACAATGCCAGCGGTGGAGGGTTGTAGACGGTTGGTGTCCAGTCCATTGTCAAAGGGATGGACGAGAACAGGAGAGGGGTTTCGGGCTGTGCGGAGCGAGTGTCTGTGTTGGTGTGAGGTGATTCTGGTGGCCCTGAATATCCTGGAGAGCACGGTTTCAGGGAGGCTAGTCCCAGCTGGGCGCAAGCGTGAAAGCGCGTCATGAGTCTTCCACGCCTCATCTCGCGTTTTAGTGGGCCATCATCTCGTCCTCTCCCGAACATGACCCCCCCGCCCACTTACCATGAGCGATGCCGCAGCGTCTGCCCCTTCACTCGTACCATGCGAGCAGCCTCGTGGCTCGCCCGTCTCCCACTATGGCCTCAGTAGTCCAACCCTTGACGCTTTCGATTTGCCTCCCGCGCCTGCCTCACCCACCATGACCACTCCACAAGCAGAATCTCGAGACAGACCAGAGCGTCCACGGCCCGCACCAACAGCCTCGGCCGAGCACGACTCCTTAAAGTACCACCTGCTCGGCCCCTCGCTCACAAAAGCCGGACAAGATACTGTAGACCAAGCAAAGGTCTCCGAGGTCATCTACAATGCATCCAAGGGATCCAAGTTCTTCAACAATGAGCAGGTCAAGGACAAGAATCTTACAGAGAAGATCAACAAGATTCTGGCAAAGAGACGTCAGCTGGACAAGACTGACCTGACCTCTGACCAGCGCAGAGCCGACGACTATATCGCTGAATTGGAGCTGAGCAGGGACCTGAGTCAGGTCATTGTACACCTCGATTGTGATGCTTTTTATGCCGCCGTAGAGGAGCTCGATCGCCCGGAGCTGAAAGACGTTCCGTTTGCGGTCGGCAAAGGTGTGCTGACGACCTGCAACTATCATGCGAGGAAGTTTGGCTGCCGCTCGGGCATGGCCGGTTTTGTTGCCATGAAACTCTGTCCACAGCTAATTTGCGTCCCTATGAACTTCGCGAAATACATGGCCAAGGCAGAAGAGGTCCGCCAAGTCCTTGCACTGTACGATCCTAATTTCCAGAGTGCGAGCTGCGACGAGGCATACCTGAATCTTACAGAGTACTGCCAAGAGCATCATATGACCCCCGAGGAAGCAGTCAGCCAAATGCGCGCAGACGTCTATGAGAAGGCCAAGATTACCGTCTCTGCCGGTATCGCAGCGAATGCCAAACTCGCCAAGATCTGCTCAAATAAGAACAAGCCAAATGGGCAGTTTCTGCTCCCTAGCGACAGACAGACGATTGTGGAGTTCATGAGGACCCTACCTACACGGAAGGTGAACGGCATTGGTCGCGTCTTTGAACGAGAGCTGGATGCTATAGGCGTGAAGACCTGCGGAGACATCTATGCACATCGAGCATATCTGGCGAAGCTATTCGGTCAGAAGGCATTCCAGTTCTTGATGCAGTGCTATCTAGGTCTGGGACGTACCATTGTCAAACCTGCGGAAGACCGTGAGCGCAAGAGTGTCGGGACAGAAACTACTTTCAGGGAGTTAGGGGATCGCGATGCCCTGCGCGACAAGCTTCGTCACGTCGCCGAAGAGCTCGAAGGAGACCTGAAGCGCACTGAGTATAAAGGGAAGACCCTCTGCATCAAGATCAAACTTCATACCTACGAAGTGCATACACGACAGACGACACCACCATTTGCTGTTAACAAAGCGGATGACTTATACAGATACAGTCTCCCTATGCTGGAGAAGCTGATGAAGGAAATACCGGACCTGAAGCTGCGTCTCATGGGCCTGAGAGTCACACAGATCATCAGCACAAAGAAGCCTGGAATCGACTTCTTCGGCCGTGCAGCCAAGACATCGTCGACTTCTTCAGAGGCCTCCACCTCAAAGAATGAAGGGACATGGGAGACCTGGCCGGAGGAGGAATTTGAAGAAGCCGCACAACAAGAGCGCAACGACGAGATGAATGAGTTGGAGAAGCTGTCTCAGGAACAAGGGCATCAGGAAGAGGATCTATCGGCGCCCGAACCGCAATGGCAGTGTCCCATTTGCTCCATCTCTCAACCGCCAGATGACGCGAGCTTCAATGCCCATATCGACTTTTGCCTTTCGAAACAGACTATCAGAGAAGTTGTCAAATCTACAGCGCCGTCACCAGAGAAGCAATCCATCGCCCCCAAGCCAATAACCAAAAAGGGAAAGCGCGGAAGACCGAAGAATGAAGGGTCAATTTCAGAACAGCAGGCGAAAGAAAAGAGAAGGGCTTTCTTCTCGCTTGGCAACGGCAACTAAAGATAAACATATGATACCCAGACAAAGATGCTGAAACCTATTAATGCACCGTTGTTTGACTTTTTCTGTACCCCCAGTAGTACCCTGCATTGCGACCCTGCAGTTTTGTTCTCCTTTGCTAACCCAAGAAAGAACACAAACGAAAATAAGAGGGTATATCCAATTAAAAATCCACGCGCATGCCAACTCCCACCTTCCTACCAAGTTCACACTAATCCCACCCACTTCTCTCATGCACTCTTCTAGGTGTCCTTCTCATCCCCGTGCCCAGCATCCCTTCATTCCTGCCCTCGCCTACACCATCCCTCATACCAAAGTCCATGGCTCCATATCCTTCCCCAAGCACTGTGCTCTCCCTCCCTTCCTTCCACGAATGATTGCTTTCGTTGTACCCTGGTGGAACCGGCCACTGCATCTCATTTTCATTCACGTTGAAAGGGTAAGCGCCCAGATCGGTATTCAGACTGTTCGTATGACTGTGGAGACCTGAGTGAATTGTAGGTGGTGAGAGGGAGGCTTGCTGACGGTCGATGAAATCGTTAGTATGGGCATGCGGCGAGAAGTCGGATTCTGTGAGGCGGAAGCTGTCGTCCATGCGCGACTGGCTTCTGGGTGGCGCATCGCGGTCGCGGGAACGTGGGAGAGAATCCATTCGCGGGTTGAAGGTATTGTCAGTATTTCTGTCGCGAGCTGCTCGAGGCCCGAACGTCTCGCCTTGTAAACGTGGTTTGCGATCGGTGAATTCGTCTTGTATGACTTTCTCGTTTTCGCGGCGGCGTTCGAATTCTTGGCGGAAATGATTGCCAGCGTTGTGAGAGAGGTGGAGGTTGTTGATCTTCTCTCCTAGGCGGCGGATGTCGTTCTGCATCAGTGTTGCGCCGTCAAGACTTGGTGGGGGTGGAGGAAGTGCGTGCTGCGGTGGAGGAGGGAGTGCATGTTGCGGTGGTGGACTGGGAAAGTTATGACCTGCTATCTCAGCGTGTCGTGCATCTTCATGGTAGCTCGTACGTTCGCTGTTCGGTGTTGCATCGAGCTCTACAGGCGCAGATTGTGCAGGCATTGGATCCCATGCGCGCTGCCAACACCAAGATCGTTGCTGCCTAGCTTCTAGATGCTCTATCTGACCGTTGCTTACCCACTCAGGCATGCGCTTGAGATCAGTGTTCAGGAAGTATCGCACACCGTCTGTGTGCTTCAGGCTTTGGACGTCGACAGATAGTGTTGACAAGACCTGCAGCACGCCGTACAGAAGCACCCAACGTCCTAGACGTGCTTCGCGCGGTGTCATGTGTTTCAAGTCCGTGGTGAGCTCGAACTGTTCGAACTTGTCAATAAGCGTAGATCCTAAGAAAACGTCAGCACAGGCCGACAAGTGTCCATTTTTTGTCAATTACCGTTGAAGTTAACGTCCAGTTTCTCGATGTTCGTTGCATCACTAAAGATAATGGAGAGCTGCAGTTGTGCTTTTGCGTCCTTTGTGGTATCCTTGAGCTTATCCTTTTTCAGTGAAGAGAAGAAGCTCTTTTTCTCCTTGTCCTTGCCCGTCTTTGGTACCTCTCTAGGAAGTAAGGGATACGGATGCGGAATGTGTGCATACCCGTTCTTCGCATCGTAGGTGACCAGCATATCCGTCATACCGAGCTCTGGCAAGTCTGCGCTGAAATTGTCATTTTTTCGATGAGCCATCTCCCACTTACGAGATGCTCGCTCCTCTCGAGGATTCCATATCACGTCTCGGTCGACGAAATAATCGTACAGAGAACCAAAATCTTCTTGCATAGCGTTCACAACCTTGCGATTAAGCCATGTCTTATCGGAGGTTGGTGGCCAATTACCGTATATGCGGGTGAAATGACCAATAAGGAACTGACGAAACGACTGGTAGCTCTGATAGACTGGGCTATTCGCAGTTCTCAGTGTGTCTTCCCAGAGATCACCGAAGTCGAAGTTGGACAGTTTTTCCTCTGCTTCCATGACGCGCAATTGCAGTGTCTTCGCAGCTAAACCGAGGTTCCGCCTTGTGACCACAGAGAGGCGTTTGAAATCCGGGTGGTCCTCTATTTCCGGTTTCATGACACCAGCTAGGTGTACAAAGCTCTCGAGGTAACCTTGTCGCCACTTGACAGTGTCCTGTTCTGCCCATGCCAAAAGCCCAAGAGCTCGTCGAATATTGTTGCGTAAGTCATCGATCCCATATCGGCCAAGGTATTCTGTAATCATTTGGACACTACGTTCCCTAGCTGTCATTCCAGATCGAGCGTCCGTGTCAAGATCGTACATGATATGTATCTGAGGTTGCAGTGTACTCAGCATGTCATACACGTCTGCTCCAACTATAGGTTTGCCATGCAACATGGCCAGGAAATTACGAATAGCAACGTGATGGAGTCTCTGCCCCTGAGGTGTCCTTATGTTTTCGGGCGCGGTGAACCATATCTCGTGGGTTGGGTTGCGTTGGAAACTCTGTTGAAAAGGAGGTGGCGAATTGGTGTAGTGTCGATGGGAAGCTTCAGATGGATGACAAGCTCTAGAAGTAGTCCGAGAATCTATGCTATGTGACTGGTCGATGTCAAAAGGCGGCGGAGATCGTCCGCCTGGTGATGTTGGACCTAACATCCGCCGTTGTGTAGGTTGTGGAAAATTTGGGGAGAAAGGCTGCGATGGTGAACTTGCGCTCTCCGAAAGCGCCCAGTCATCGACGTCGTTATCGTCTATTTGACCGTACAACAAGGCATTACTCAGCCAAGTGGAGCCTGAATTTTGAAGGACTTCCAAATCAGCCTGGATGGAAGGGACTGGGCGATCCTCGTCTACCTGCTCCTCTTTGAAATAGATAAGCACACTACCGTGCTGCATATCTTCATCCTGAAATACTGCGTCAGATGGATTTAGCTTCTTCATGCATGCTAACAACTTACGTAGTCGAACCCTCCATATGGGCGCATACCATCTTTGCCATCCGTCCATACCTTGAAGTTTAGCCATGTTTTCTGGTCGGTTGGAAAGGCATAGGACGCGGACGATTCAGACCTAAAGACAGGAGGTGTGGGCGTCGGTGCAACGCTCTTTTTGATTGGTACTCCTCCCCCTCTACCGCGAGGAGCTTTTGTATCTTTACCTTTTGCCTGGTACTTTGTCTTGTCCTTGCCTTTTGCCGAGTTGTCTGATACGGATTCGGCTCTAGAAGAATTCGTTGGCGGAGGTCGACTTCCGGAAGAGACGTCGGATGGAAGAGTATGTAGTCGCGGTCGACTGCTGCTGCCACCATCGTGCGTAGAACTGCTTCGCGATGTTGCATGACTGTTGTTGCTGGAGACTGTAAGGGAGCGTTGAATCCCACTCCTGGGATTACTAGAGTTTGGTGATGGACGCCACTCTGTGAACGCATCATGGTTTTCCTGTATCCGTTCGGGAGCCTTTCCCTTTACAACTGCCTTCTTCTCTTTCTTCTCGACTTCTTTCTGCTGTACCTTTCGACTACGCGCGCCTCGTGCCGACATATCTTGCTCGAGTCGTTGGTAGGGCTATAGATTCGCCGATGGTCGGATGTAAAGTTTGGACAAAGGAGACCGTTCTGTATTTGCATCAAACTTGAGATGTTTTTCTATACTGAGCTTCGAACAAAATCATGAAGAGGCAATATGATTGGCTCTGGAGTATCGTGTTGCCCGCTTTCTCGCCTATTTCGGTAAATGCTATGCCTGCCGCAAGAATCCAGGAACAACAATGAAACAAAGGCGTCGGCCGATGATGTAGTGGTATTGATTAGAAACAAGCGGATGAAAGAGTGTGGGATGGCATTGAGGCTCATGCGATCAAAACAACATGGGAACTACCACGCGCAGAGAAGAACGCGAGGGGTTAATAAGGCAGACACGTTCGCGGTACCAGGTCGTATATATCGAACCTATTCTCGAAAAAAACCCATGTCCGCTTGTCCCGGCGCTCAGGATGCGGAGCACAGGGCAGTGTGTCGAATGCGGTCTGGCTGCTGATAAGAGACTCATCCTACCGAGTTGCTGCAGGTTAATCCGCGAAGCGAGCGGCCCAGTGCAATGGCAATCCTTTTGCAGAAGAGGTGCATCCGCAGGTGGGGAGACCAATAGCAACCCCAGTGTTATGGCTTGGATGGCAGAGAATGGCAGGCTGTGATAAGGCCGGCTGATTCTTGTGCCTCTCGGCGGTCAGCAATCCCATCACCATGCAGCACGAAATGAAAAACAATCCTTAGGCGCAGACTGTGGGCTGAGGCAGAGCGGCACAGGCGAGCAGGTGAGATTTGACGTCTAGGAGCTCCACGGTGCTTCTCCATAACGTCCGGATTTACGCAAGGTAGCCCTTGCGTTAGGGAGCTTGGGCCCAAGGCTCTGGGTGATGAGCGCAAAGACGTCTGGTCGGGTCGAATTTCAGGGCCAGGTGAGTGCTGGCTCAACGGCCGCTTGCTCGGCGGTTCTGCGAGGATCCACGAATGATGGCGACGCCCACATGCCGTCTAGGCTGATGGAAGCGGGTTGGGCGCCGACAGCTGTCCAGACCCACGCGCAGCTACGGCGTGTGTGTTGCTGTTCCACGCGATGCCACTAATGCGCGTCGAGTATCGAGCCGCGAGCGTCGAGGCATGGCAGGATGCGAACACATTTTAAAAGTCGAAAACCAGTTCTGCCGCCGGTGCAGGTCGTGTTTGAGGGTGTGGTCTGTCCGTCGCGTTTTTTGGCGGTTTGGTTGGCTAGAAATGAGGAAGGCACGATCCAGCCACAAAGTACCAGCCTCCCCCGCCTTCACCATACCCACCACCCGAGTAGGCATCCCACTTTAAAGTATACATCCCGGTTTCCATGCTCAATACGTCACCTTGCAACACCGCGACCATTCTGCAACCCGATCGCAAAACAAGACGCATCCTGGTCTGTCCTATCACTGCGAGATCTTAAAAGCGCGCTGCCCTGCATCTTTTTCGGCGGCTTGTCGTCGTCCTGCATCTCTCTTGTCGCATCGCACCTGCTTCGTTACACGGCATTAACCGACCGTGGTCCAGCTGACAGCTCGACCAAAGCAAACACCTCTTCTCTCGAAGCACTTTTGCGATCCTGCCAGTTGCCATCATGTCGTTCTCCGGACTATCCTTCATCTTTTGGCGCGTCTTCCAGATCATCACCTTGATCCCGTGCCTGGGCATGCTCGCCTGGTTCGTCGACTGGTACAACAGCCGCGGCCTCCTCACACCAACGTCAATCCTCGTCCTGTTCATCGTATCGGTGCTCGGCGCAGCATGGGCTATAGGCACCCTCTTCCTCTACACGCGCGCGAAGCACTCTGCCAAATTTGTGGCTTTCATCGACCTTCTTTTCATGGGCGCCTTTATCGGAGCCGTCTACGCTCTCCGAGGAATTGCTGATGCCGATTGCTCCAACTGGGAAAGGAATGGTTCCTACAGCGCTGATCTTGGTTTGTTCACTGTCAGTGGAGACAGGTGGGGGTTCAACATCGACCGCCAATGCGCCATGCTCAAGGCTTCATGGGCTTTTGGAATCATGTAAGTTCAATTTCAGAAAAGGTGGGAAGCAAACACGAATCTAATCCTGTGCAGGAACATCATTTTCTTTTTCATCACTGCCATATTGGCTCTACTTGTGCACCGTCACCACCGTAATGACCGAGTCGTTGTGAAGCGCGAAGTCCATCGCTCCCGTCACGGCCACCGCTCCCGCAGCCCTCGCTACTCGCACCAGAGCCACAGTCGGAGCCGACGCAGCTATGTCTAAGCTTATGGGACATGTCAAATAATGACAGGGTATCGGAGTTGGGTTTGGAACATCTGGCACTGGCTATGGTCAGAATTACGAATTTCTTTGGACATATTCCCCCTTGCGTCAATATTGGGAAGTATTGGCGTGTGTATTGAGATGGCATGTAAGCGGAATGGTTACGACATTGGTATGAGAATACATCCCTGAACCACGGGAATTAGAACGACTCTGTAGATAATTGCTTTATGAGAACTATGGTCGCGAGCAAGTCTACACTCTAAGCAACGTGACAGAACACGTCAACAACAATAATGCATTGCTGCCTGAGTGTGGTAATGCTGTCTTAGTGGACAGGCTGTCCATGTTGCGAAGTTTTTTTGAACCAGGATATTCGCTGTACACGACTGGTAACGTTGATTCGGATCCACTTGGATTCTGCACCCCTCCAGTCCAACCTCTGTACCAGTGCACCGATGTGTTCGACCAAGTTTCTTCGCTGATAGACTCAGGGTCTAGGATCGTGCAGTGGTCAGGCCAAAATTAGTTGTGACTGGGGTTGATATTCTACAGTTGCGTATGGCGCGTTACTCCTATGCAAGCTCCATTGATGCAATTCCGCTCCGTCATGATACTGGTACAATAATGTCATACAGTCCATAGCCATACATGCATGCAGCCTTGTTCCACTACCACACTCTGCAAAGCGCCATACCACCCAACTGTCGCTCCACACATTCTCTTGCCTCGAGTATTCCTCGGTCTGTTGTAAGGAACATGCATTCTCCGGGATGCGTCAGTCCCTTTACATAGCTCGATTCGCGTGTCCTCGTGATCTTGCCCAAATCCTCGCTCGTCAGCCATATCCGCCGTGTGGGCTTGGACACTAGCTTCATGTTCTTCAACACGGGCTCGTTTTGCCAGTACTTTAGGCCAAGCCATAACCGTCTCCGCGCCGGGTTCTGAGGTACGTGTATATCGTGGACCTGCTCTTGACCTAGTGGTGCCTTCTCTCCAGTGCCTTCTGGTGCATCGATGGGGTATGCAAGCCATGGCTCCTCCTTCAGCTTCTGTGCCATTATGTCTAGTTGCTCGGGATCTTGCTGTGTCTGGAGGAGAAAGGGCTTTGGTGGTGTTGGCCCGCCGAGTGTGACTGAAGAGAGGAAGCCTTCGCGTTGCAGACCCAGCGCAATGTTGACGTGCATCTTGGAGACCGGTATTGATGTCAATCCAAGGCGAGCTTTGGAGGCGTTCTGCATGTGCGAGCAGACATGTGCGAGGTTGACGAGAGACATATTGGCTGCAGTGGTGGTGGGAATTTGCCCTCGACGGGCTGCGGCAGCAGGCGGGCGCGATGGCCGATGTGATGACGAGAGCGACCGTGTATCTGGTAGCGAGTATCAATGGTGAGGCTCGATGCAGCCTCCAGGTACGATTGCGCGTGGTGTCGTCGGCGGATGCTCTACGCAGCAAATTTCTGGATTGGCTCGGAGGTCCGCAAGTCACGAGTGGATCGCTGCTGCCCGCTCCATTCGGCAGAGCTTGGACCGGCGCCTACTAAAGTCGACACTAATGGGCGGGCGCTTCGAGGACGACACAAATAGAAGACCGCGCAGCTGTTGGTCGGAGCTGTCGTCGGCTTATATGACAGCCCTGCGACCCTATATATGCCTTTGATCTCTCCAGATGATTATCCAAGAGTGCTAACTGTTCGTCTTACTACTTCTCTACAGCGTCTCCACATCCTGGGACATCTTGGGCTGTCAGACATCTTGGACACCCGATAGACCATCATCGTACACTAACACAATGCCTCCACAGCAGGGCGAAGTGTCTCTCTTGACGCTGTAAGTAGTAAGAGATGCTTGGGCCTCGAAGCTGTACTGACAGTTAGATAGCTTTGCAGACGTCCATTACTACATCTCCCCACCTACCCAGCAACCCCCACATCATCGCTTCGACAAAGGCTCCTATGTCTACCTTTACCACAACCCCATGCGCCAAAGTGGGCGCATAGAAGTAGCGAACCATGCGGGCACACCCAACCAGGATGCCTTTGCCGGTCAGCTGGACACCATCAAGATTGAGCAAACATACAAGCACCCGTGCTTGTTCACCCTCACGGTCGATGCCTTCCAGAGTCACACCGGCAACGCGAGTCCGCATCATGACACGTCACAGTGGCACCTCCCCACACCCGATCCCTCGAGCCAGGGCAAATACATGTACAGGCTGCACACGGTAGATTTGTATTTTTGGACACCAGAGGATGCGAGCCTCTTTCTTGACTCTATTCGGAGAGTGCTACAACCGCACCAACTGCAGATTACGCGCAACCCCAATGCCACCCCAACGCACTCGGAACACAAGAACGATGCCCTGAGTCCTGTCATCGCGAGGCTGGAGAGTGCAGCCATATCACACACTAGTCGGACTCCGAGTGTCAGTACAACGCAGTCATTCCCTGGCCCTCCTACCGCGCCCGCACCAACATCACCCCCTCCCAGCGAGCAGCCGCCCAATTACGCTCCAATGGCATACAATCCGGCAGCTCCAGCCGCGCCAGAGCCTATCGCGCATCGTGAAAAGACACCACCACCGCCAGACGCAAACGACGGCACTGGTCTTGCATCTGCCGCTGTACACGATCAGCATGCCGCACAATACAGCAACCCACTACAAGCTTCATTTGCGCCCCAGCCGACATCAGGATCGTACTTTCCAGGACCACCAGCGCCAGGCCAGGGCTTTACTGGTCCACCGAGTGTGCACCGTACAAACACGGCGGGGTCAGTGCCGAGTGCATCACAAAGTCCGCCGTCGTTTGCACCACCTCCATCTGCGCCTCCACCAGGCCAATACAATGGCCATACCCCGCCACCTCCCGCCATGAAGCGAACATCCACCATGCCAGTTCAGCAGTACGCCAACTACCCGAACTCGCCCGGATTTCCGCCCGCCCCCCAATCGCCGCCTGCGCACTCTGCTGTACCGTCTCCTGGATTTCCTCCTCAGCAATATCAACCAATGGCATCCCCGGGCTATGCACAATATCAGTATGGTAGCGCAACAGCTCAACCTCAAGGACAAATTTTGCATCAACAACTTTACAGACCAACGGAGACTGAAGCCGCGGTGCAAGATCACGAGAACCCCAACGCGCCGCAACGCAACTCGAACATCGGAAAACGGGTAGATAAAGTGGAGAAGGGTATTGGCAGTTTCTTGAAAAAGCTGGACAAGAAGTTCTAGTATAGTGTCAGTGCGCCAGTTCTTGTATCTAACTTGAGTTTTGCCAGCCAGCCAGCGTAGTCATTGACGACTTTGGAGATCGAAGCATATACCCTTTTCAATAATTTACGGCCACTATTACGACGAGCGTCGCCTGTGCCACTCTTGTAGATCAAGCATGTGAATGCGATCATTATGCAGTACGAGCTCCAATCAGTGCCCGGCGCTAGCGTATCCTTGAATCTGGGAGAGGCCCCAAAATAGTAGCAGGTTTCTGGAGATGACATGAGCTCTTGCTTTTGCCTCAACCGCTGAGGTGAGGAGCCTAGCGGCCATGGTACAAAACGGTTGGGAGATCGCTAGAAGCTCAATTGTTGCAGTGTTGCCGTGCTACACTTTACTGTAGATTGAATGTCTATTTGCGCTCGCAGCCGCCGCCTCCCCAGCCACAGAGCCCCTGGTCACTGCTCCCCATCATCCCAGCATCCGCATTAACCCTCAGCTGCCAAGGCAAGCATCCGGGCGCAGGCCTAGCCAGAACATCACTCGCGGCTTTCCCCCCATTGTTGTCAGTCGTCTAGTTATTCCCAGACTATACACCTGACACCGATCCCCAATATCCTAACCACATCTACGACTCGCTCACCGCCGCTGCCGCTGCCGCTGCCGCCGCCGCCTGCTTAGACGTTTCGACGCAACGGTTCGACAGGTCCTAGTGCAAAACAGTAACCAAGAACGCGGGCCTTCCGAAGCTTGGGCGATCCACCTTTGTCCAAACAAGTGATCTCATTGTGAAAACAAGGCTTCGGCAACATCCTTTGGTTGAAGCATTTGACGTTTGGCATAACTGGTGTATGGTTGTTTTGGTATCATGTTGTTACCTGCGCGGCATGCAAGGGAAGGCGCGTTGGAGCGGAGAGAGATCTCCAAGCAAGGCAGGACCTTTGTCGTTGTAAGTTCTGCGTGTGCGACCCTTCCGTGTTACCCTGGAGCCCTGACTGACCCCGATTGCCTAGGTCGGAGTCATCGCCGTTGCCATCTTGGTTATACTCATCATCACATACTTCTCGACCCTCAAGTTCCGAGCACCATACCGCGCCGCAAAGAAAGCACAACAGTCGTCCAACGACAAACTACCTTCGTTATTCTCCTGGAAAGCGTTCCGCAAGCGCCCGCGCCGAAATGACTACTCGACGAGTCTACAAGATACGGAATACCGGGGCAGTACAAGTAGGGCAAGTGGTGAGATGAGCGGAGCTGCGGCTGGGGATCCTGAGAGGCAGATGAACAGCACCACGGCAGCTGGGGTTGACAGGAACACGTCGATTCGCAGTGTTATGACGCTGCCTGCCTACTCTTCCGCCGCACGAGAGAATGAGAGGGTATTGGCTCGCGAGGGTGAGCGCGCGGGCGTCGACACGGTCGTTGAGCTCCCAGAGACACTAGACGAGGAAGAGAGACAACGAGAAGAGGAGATGGAATCCCTGTACCAAATACGACTGGCACGACGTATCGAAGCAACGGATCGAGAAGCACGCCGGCAAGCGCGAAGAGAGGCACGCGCTCGTGGAGACGTCCAAGCACTCGCAGATATCCGACGAAGGGCCGAAGAAGCTGCAGACCTGTCTGTATCACAAATGCTCATCGCTGAGCACCAGGCCAGAAATCGAAGCCGCGAACAGCGGGTATCTGCCGTAGCCTACGGCGACCTCGGTGTTGCAAGGCACGACGGCACTCGACTAAGGGCCAATTCTTCCGAAAGCGATAACCGACCCCTCTTAGATTCTGCGGCGTCATTCTCTGGTCAAAGCCGTGGCCGCGACGCACACGCACGCGGTCTTTCCGTTACCTCTCTCGCACAATCAGTTGATTCACACGCATCCGATGACTACGACTTCGCAGATGCCTCGCGCTCAAACTCGCACTCAACCGGCCCCAACAGCGAAGGCTTTGAGGTCGTACCATTGAACCCAGAAAGGAGTCATAGTGGAAGCGTCGGACCGTCGCCAGAGATACCGCGAGAAGATGCGCCCGCATACGAAGATCCGCCCAACTACGAAAGCCCCATCAACACCAGGGCGCCACAATTGCCAGCACTGAGCCTGGATCTTGAAAGACTACCTAGCATCCAAGTCACAACGGAACCGACCCCTGTAGAAGGTCGAGCACCATCATCCATTACATAAACTTCTCGCATAATATCGCATTTCCAGCCTCGTGCTATTGTACACATTTGGGTATAGCCATTTCGAGCCATTTTGAAACAGCATTCATTGTTACTCGTCAACGATCTCACGAAGTCACCGCTGTCGGAACAGCGAGTTGTTCGCACTATTGCATTTCCTCGGTTATTATGGCGTGGCGCAATAGGCGCACTAGAGGGAGCATATGTATACATAGGTATTGCTCAGATCTCGAATGTCCCATCCCATTCTCTCACCCATGTTCGTGTGATTATTTCACATGTGCCAACCTGTTATCGTGAAGGCAGCAATAGTGTACTGGCACTTGTACCTTGCATAGCACAGAAGATCCAGTGTTTCAACTTCCATGTAGAACAGCCAATACCTGAGAAGCCGATCCATATATTGAGATCATCCTGGACAGACGTTGCAAACCCCTTCAAACTCTCGTCACCTTACCCTCACCAAATGTGCGTTCCATATGGAGATGATCGTGATACCACCGATGTACTAGGCTTTGGAGACCAGTACCGCACAACTCCAATTATCCTCGAAGGGTACCGAATTTGCTTATCTACTTCCTGTGCCTGTACAAATTATCTTTCGCCCATGAGAATTCGCCGCAGCCTTCACTGCCAACTTCACGCTTGTAGAGATGCGGAAAGTGTTGACTCGACAGCGATCTACGAATCACTCGTTTATATAACAATCTCTGTGATCAGTAAGTGGCTTACTTTCGATGCTAGACGTGTTGTTGTGACTGAAACCTGCTATTCGCGAGTTGCTATAGTAAACCCAGAAATCATCCTCTACCTCTTCCGTTAATTCCCCTTGCCCAAGATCCTTCCCAGATCGTCTGGAAAATCAAAATTCGAAAGGCTCTTCGAATCATCTGCTAGCACCGGGCCTTCTTCACTAGTGTCATAGAGAATCTCCAACATAATTAATGCTCAAACCTTCTTTGATTACAAGGTGCACGCATATCAGCGAATCCAACCAACTCAGCCAGATAAGTAGAACAAGATAATACTAATAACAGTATCAAGCCGAAGCTCAAACATATAGCTAGTACAATCGAGAACTAAGAAGAACTGAAGGTGAAGTGATCCGGTCAAGGATAGAAAGGTGAAGGTGACAAAAATGATCCGTCGTAAAACCACGAGAAGCCATAAGAGATAAAGAGAACAGAGAGGTATGAAACAGATTTCCCATCCTCGGCTTCGTGGAAAAAATGCCTCCCAGTTTGTGCCACCTAGCCTCCTTTGAAGTGGATTGCAAAACGCCAGAATATCGCTAAGCGCCAGAAGAAAGAGAAGAGTTTTACCAAAGGGATAGGCAAGATCGAAGCAGTATCAAATGTCCTCAATAGATTATCTAGCGCTTCAATGGCCAGAGTCGCTTACACGTCTTCTCCGCCCGCGGCTACCACCTTCGGGTCGCTGAGCAAGGACGTCTCGAAGTTGAGGGTCATCTTTGTCCTTATCAGTGTGATGAACACGTACGTGTCTACAGCTTCTATTAGCTTGGCTCAAATTGAGTTTCTTCACGAGTGTACACACCTTTGCAGGTTGTCTGGCCTCGGATACTTGTGCTCGCGGTCTGGACAAAACGGGCATACGTATCCAGGTGACTGATGCACAAGCCCGTGTCGTATCATTTCATTCTTGCGTTTGAAACCTTTGCCACCTTCGCCTCGTGGACAGTCTTTGACTGGACAGTAATGTGGTCGATTTGACGAATGCACGTTGGTATGCGAGCTGCATAAGTCAGCACCTAGAATTTTGGCAACATTGGGCTGAAGAGCGAGACAACTTACTTGAGAAGATACTGCGTCTGGAAGGGTGCAGCAGTGCAGCCTGGATAGTCGCACTTGAAACATCCAACGATATGGGAGGTTGATTGCTGCTGTAACCCAGAGTTCAATGGAGGTGGAAGCACTCTCGACGCGAGCGCACCATCTAAACTCATATGCCTTTGCCTTGGTTCGATGGGCGTTGGCTGTGTACCAGGACTGAGGCCATCCGAGCTCTGATAACTGTCACTGGTGGATGCGGAGTGCAATGTGGCTGTGTAAGGACTGTTGTCTGATGCTGCATGTGATGGTCTCCGGGCGTCTGTGCCAAATGCACCTCCCCCTGAGGTGCGTAGAAACAGATCACCTCGGTGTGGTATTTCATGAGCACTCATGGGCGAAGAGGCACTTAGTGGGGGAAATGGCGTTGCCGGAGAGTGAGAGCTAATGGACAAAGCACGCACTATCGATGTTGGTGACTGTCCTACAGAAGACACGGATTGTCTATGTGGGAAGCTGATGCTGTTGGATCTGGTTGCTTCGTGATCACTCGTTGCAGACCTCGCTATGTCGTCCATATGTCGGAACGAAGGTAGTTGTTGACTAGGCGAGCCTGCTGCTGCATCACGCGCAGGAGATGGCGCCTGTAACGCTGGTAGGGTATCTGCGGAAAGTCCCCCTCGTTGCGGAATGGTTAGTTGCCGTAGACCAGGAGATGTTGCTGAGTCATTCTCCTGGGACAGACTGTTTGGCAACTGATTTGGTGGCTGCAGTGACACGTTGGATAATGCGGTTGAGATGGATGGCGTTCTATTTGTTCCGTTTACGTTAGATCTTACACCATTCAGTGCAGATGGTTGAGAGGTGCGCCTGTTTGCTGCTGCAAAGCCAAAAGGCCTAATGACTTCGTCTTCGATCACGGAGTCTCTGTGGGTAGCTGTCGCTTTCGGATCGGGTGCTGAGGCAAGTACTTCTAGCAAAGTAGGTTGCTGGTTGGCAGGACGAGTAGTTGACGGTATTGGCTGCCCATGATTAGGGGGGGACAGGACAGTTGCCGTGTTGGAGGTTTCAACGTCTGGCATCTCGTCGTCCCCAGAGCCAGGCCCTTGGTCTGATTCAGAGTCAGAGTTCAAGGCCTGCTCGCTTGCTTTTTGAGCAATATCTGGGCGATTAGGATCCATTTCACGAATGAGCACCATGTCCCCTTGGGTCGGCCGGGTTCGGATCTTGCGAGAATTAGATTTTTTTCGGCTGCGGGATCGAGATGGACTGACACTCTGGCGAATGAGTTGATGGCGGACGACTGTTGTTATCTGGGGTGGTGGGGTCGGAGATGGTGTTGCCTTTACAAATCTGGCTGTCAAGAGGGGTGATTTTGGAAGGAATTCGTCGTCCTGGTAGTATTCCACGGATTGGATGGCGTCAAGCATTTGGACAGCGGGTTCCGCGAGTTAGGAAGATGGTTATTGAGTGGATGGAACAGAGGGATAATTATCCCAGCGAGCGCTCAGCGAATGCCCCTAGAGAAAGACCTAGGCGGCGATGAAGAGAGCGTGTGGCACAGCAAGACCAGTCTTGAATAGCTGTCTGGAGGAGAGTCAGCAGGGCCATGGGCTGCATTCTTCTCGCGATGATGGAAGAAGAAGGGTCCGGAGCAGCAAGTCTGGCGAAATTGATACGATAAACAGAGATGAGAAAAGCGAGGTGCCGTCGGAAGCGTGCCAGGCTAGAGACGCTCGGATCGAGCGAATGGGGCAAAGCAGGGGTGACTATGTGGAAAAGACGGGTTGTTGGTCATCGGAACTGAAATACAGCGAACAGTATCATGAGTCGCGAAATATATGTGGAGATATGATGCAAAGTAAAGACGCCAACGTTGAAGCGGCTCTGCGCGGTGAAAACATACCCGAGGGTGCCAGTGCGACGGCTCTTTTTCAGCCTCAAGGCGGTGTCGAAGGGCTCTGCCGATCGCAAACATCAACTCGCGCAGGCTGCGATGGGGCAGGCGTTTGTTCACGGATGGCATAGATGATGGTAACGGTGTGCGAGCCTTGCCTGCCCTTACGGCATGCAGGAAACGGATAGCTCTTGAAGGGGGGGGGAGACTGCGGCGGGTGAGGAGGCTGACTTGCGGGGGTTGTTGACTGGACGGCCCTGTCTGCGGACGCTGGAACAGGCGGAAGGCGGGTTAGGTCAGCGGTGCAAGATACAACAAGCAACTGGGCAGCAGGGCAGCGAGGGTGAAGGACAGCGCGTTCAAGTCGGATGCTCTGCAACGACAATGGATCTAGACGGAATCATGACCGTCGCGCCAGTCGCCCTTCTTTGGCTCCTGCGAGGCGCAGCCCCAGCTTACCACCAGCGCGAGCGAGGCTCTAATCCAATCCAGTTTTTATGAGGCTCCCACCGAGGTTTCCATCCCCGCACAGATAGCCGCTAGCTGCTCTTGGACCCCACATGCACTTCTAGCTACTCCACGGGGGACCGAGCCCAGCCCCGCCTCTTTCACGCCCAAAAGCCTCCATCGGCCCTATTGTGACTTTTGCTCTTTAGTCCATCTCCTAGACTTCCTGAACTATCCTTGGGCGAGCTTCGTGCTAATTCTCTCTCTCACGGCCGAATTTGTCAGAATGGCTATTCGCGGAAACTCATGCGGCGTGGTGCCATGTTGCCCTGCTGCGGCTTGCTGTTCGCTTGACACGCCGCACCTGGATTGAGCTACCCTCTATATTAACTGCCCAGTCTGAACGCCAGACTATGCCAGAAATCCTCCTATTCTATCTACCCGGACACCTGTCGACTACATGTGCATGCGTGGCCGACTACAGCATGCAGTCCACATCTGTCTTCCCCTCTCCTCCCGCTGTCAAATGTAACCGCCCTATCGTACAGTCTTGTGCTGCATGCGCTCTTGTCTATTATTGTGCCGCTCAGAAATGCTCCAACAGAATTGTGACAGACACGCCTACCCCCACAGTCACTGCCAACTAGCGAGTAAAAACATGCTCCTTGGTAGATCAACGCCCCAAAACAACTCGTGGCTGATAAAGCTGTTGTTGGCGCCAGAAACGGTATCCCACCCATGAGTTGGCCAATCCCATTTTATCCCTCACCCGTAATAACGCACATCGGCTAAGCACCTGCATCGATTCTATCACGCTTCCGGCTTCTTGCCGAATCCGGGAATCCCACTGAACTTGCTGCCTACGGGCAACTTGGGTCGGCCAAAGTTCTCGTCCAGGTCGAGGATTACCTTGAGCGCGTTGCGGCTGCGCAGGTACGGCAACGGCGCCGTCGCTTCCTCAAGCCCGACTGATGGTTCCAGACTTGCCGAATCATGGCTAGATCCTGGCATCGGCAGAGCTGTAGACATGTTAGTCGGCCATGTGTGCAACAAGGTGTCATACAAAACTCACCTCGCTGTAGAACTTCATAACCAGCCAGCGTGAAACCGAATTGTGGAGACGATCGCATGATACGGGCAGGCCCGCCTTTGAAGAATGCCTTGAAACCTTCTTCCTTGAAGATGGTTGTCGCCGCATGACGAAGACCAGTGTATGCCACTTCGCCCTTTCGTGCCTCTACCTGTAACCTGGTCTTGATAACGTCGCACGGTGTGGTCAAGTACGCTGCAGGCATACCAGCGATGGCACCAGCGCTCAGCATTTGTAGTACGCCTAGTGACTTTTGTGGACTCTCGCCGAAGAAATCTCTCTTCAGATGGCTGTAGGTAGGGAAGTAGATGGCGGAGAAGGGAACTGATGGACGGGTCAGCGACATCGAGATGCAATAGCAAGCAACACGTACCGTCACGCAGAAGACATGCGCTAGCACCCTTGTAGAGACCAACGAGACCCAAGTTGCGGACGATCCACATGGCGGACCGCCTAGGAACACCCTCAACGTTCTTGGACAGTTCACCCTGGATCTGTAGCCGAATCTTGACAATTTCGAGAGGGTTTGTGAAGACCTGAACATGGCGTATTAGCAATTACTGTTACTTGAGATGATCAAGACAGGGGACAACGTACAACTTGGCAGGCACCGGCAGCACCACCAGCCAGCATCTCGGCGGGAAACTTGATCTGGCCTGTTGCCTTGTCCGTCATCTTTCCACGAACGAGGTCGTTAACTGTGAGCTTGATAGCTTTCTCCGGTGCTACACCAACAAGCTGAGGCAGGACGCCAGAGTAGAGTCCCTTGAAACCCTCATTCTTAATGACCTTCTTTGCACAGTCGAGCGAGTTCTTGTAGAGGACATGTCCAACACCTGAACTTCTCTGGTTCTGCATTCTCGTCTTGACCAAATCAATGGGGTAGACCATAAAGGCACCAAACGCACCAGCCAGCGAACCGAGGGCGAAGTGGTGGATCGACTCCAGAATGTCATGCCATATAGATTTTGTGGTCGCAAAGACCTTTTGGCCGGCTTCGGATATGCCGGCGGCTGCCAAAGATCCTGCAGTGTGCCACGATGGATCGAGGACGCGGGCAAAGTCTCGCAGACCGAGGCGTCCGGAAGCCTCGTCCAAACCAGCAAAGTGGAAAAGAATGTCTGCTTCCATGGGCGTGTAGAGGTTGAAGCGACTTATCCGCGCGGCCTCGTTGAGGAAATCTGTACGAGTGATCTTGCCGTCGGAGCTCTTCTGTGTGGCATTGCGGATGATGAGCTCGATCATGTCCATCTGCTGGATGACGTTCTGGAAGGCGCGCACGTTGGCGTAGGAGATCTTGCTGCCAACCGAGATGTTGCAGAGAGTGGGCAGGTTCTCGAGGAGGTAGTCGGAGAGCTTGTGGCTCGCAGTCTCGCGTATTATGCGCTGGAAGTGCTCCGGCTCGATGAAGCCGTCCTTGTTCTTGTCGAAGTAGGTGAAGCCCTGTCGCACACGCTCTCCCTGTAGCCCTCGCAGCAGCTGGGCAAACTGGGGGTAGGTCATGGTGTGCCTGTGCTTCTTGGAGCCAATGTACAGCGAGGCCCAGCCGCCCTCCCAGTCGAAGGGCAGGCTGTCCTCGGTCTTGTGCGCCTTCCATGTCTCGTAGAAGTCGTCGAAGTTGATGTAGCCGGTCCGCTGCTTGTCGAAGAAGCGGAAGACGACCTCGTACTCGGCGTCGGGTTTGGCGAGCAGGTTCTGGAAGACGGACCAGTCATGGATGCTGACCTTGCCCTTCTGATCGCGATCGGCGACCTGGAAGAGGATGCCATACTGGTACCGCTTGATCTTGTGCTGGAAGCGGGCACGTCATTAGCTTGGATGACTCGATACTATGCAGACAGCCCTGCTTACGTAGTCCTCGCCCTCGGGCGCGACCGCTGTGATGAATTGGTCTTGGTCGAGATAGTATTCGCCTGACTCGTCCTTTTGGGCGTGCTTCATAAAGGCGGCGCGCGTGAGCTGCGACAGCTGGGGCTCGTCGGTGGTGCCCAGCAGCACCTCGCGCACTTCTTCCGTGACGGTCGCCATGGTGAGGGGATGACAGCAGCCCGAGCAGTTGAGGGTGCAATTGACCTGAGCGAGGTCGTTGGGTCAGTTGAGGGAAGGTAGAGAGGGACACAGTACAGGGTGAGTCGGCCAACTCGCCGTCGACAACAGCTCGCGGGTGGCAGCGAGCTCGGAGGTAAGCTAATTTTTAATTGCGAGCCATTGGCGGGGGTCGGAGGAAACGTGGGGAAGGTGCGGCTGCGAACAACGCCCTGAGCTGAGCTACTTGCTGCAGGTGTCGAAGGGAAATCTGAATTCCCAGTACCTAGTGTAGTGCTGCCTTTCACCCTGTGTCTTGTCCGCCTTTACGCAAAGGCATTTGCCGCCTGCTTCCGCCTCGCTCCCGCATTACCTGTTTCTCGACATCGCCTCATCGCCTCATCGCTTGTAGCCCCTGTCAGATTCTATTAAGAGAACACTCTAATCGAGAGCCTCATGCGCCCATCGAGCCACATACCGCTCTTCGGGGATAAGTAATCAGTCTAGCGCAAGGGCGAGTTTGGTATCGCTGAGAAGGCCATCTACCCCGGACTGGTGCGCGCTGTCAAGCTTCTAGCGTCGCCCATTGCCCAGGCACACGCGACCCTCTGCACTGCTTCTTGTGCGTCGTCGAGCACCGGCGGCTGTCAGAAATTCGTCCATCAGAGACTGAAGCATTTCAATCAGTACCAAGTCACCTTGTTTGGCTCTGCGACATCGCTCTCACAAGCACCCAACATACCCGCTTCAACCCGGCACTCGGATCACTAGTTCCATGTACAGAGGCACCTCGCGAACCATGGCCAAGAATAGTCAAAATATGAGAGAAAGACGACCGTTATAGCGCACGCATCCTCAGCGCAGGTAAATCTATCTCGGTGGCCTCTAACACACTTTCCAAGACACTGCAGTGGGATGCACACAGCCAAGGAGCCCTATAGCATGAGCGCGCCCGCGTCAGCTATGACGACACGGCCAATGTCGTTGCATCGACTCCAACTACACCTTCCGTCCAAGCCCACGTGAAGGCTTCAATTTCGCAATCACGTCCAACATCCACCAGCCTATACAGCAATCTCGCCTTGTGTTGATGACATGATGTCGCCTACGTTCTAGGCGCTACCTTCCTATGCCGAATTCCATCGTGCTAGAATATGGCCACTCTTAATAGCTGCTCTGATTGACCCCAATACACAGCCAGCTACAGACACTTCGGAGCACGCGCGGCCTTCAGAGCCAACTGCTTCAATGCGTGTCTGATGTATGCAAGTCTATTGGTAGAAAATTCCTGCACCCTGCGGCCCTCCAAGGCGGAGACAAGACAGCGGGATTTCTGGGCAAGTCTCATGCACTTGGCGGATCCTCACTACAAGCAGCAACATGGTATCGAATCCGCGCTCTAATGGCTGAAAGCAATATACTTGCGCTCCGACCCGTCACCAGATCCTCGGCGCCCATCTTCCAGTATCTTGTCTTCTGGGCACGTCTTGCCATCCTAAGCCCGGCGTCAAGCCGACGCTCTGCACTGCCATATGCTACATATCTACTCGGGTTATATAAGATTGACCATGTTCCCAGGAACCAGGTTTCTGCCAAACACAGATCTACGCCTGCATAATCAAAATGGCGTCTCCAGTCACAGCCAAGTATGATTGGATTCTTGCAATTACCACCATTGCCTTCGTCTTCTCCGCCTTCGGAAACGGTGCCAACGATGTCGCCAACGCCTATGCTACCTCAGTCGCCGCTCGTACCTTGACCATGGTACAGGTTGGTCCGCTTGCCGTAATAACAGAATTCGTCGGTGCCGTCGCGCTTGGAGCTCGTGTGACCTCAACAATCAAGAATGGCATCATCTCTATCGACCGTTTTACAGGCAACCCGGGCGCGCTCATGTTGGCCATGGGCTGTGCTGGTGAGTATCTTCACTCTGTATCAGGAGCTTGAGCTAAATATGAACAGAGGTTGGAAGCGCCACCTGGTTGATGCTTGCTACGCATCTGGGAATGCCCGTGTCGACTACTCAAACAGTCGTTGGCGCTCTTATTGGAGTCGGATTCGCTAGCCAGGCTTCTGTCAAATGGGCGTGGGAGTCCGGCTCTGTATCGCAAGTCGCGGCTTCATGGGGTATCGCACCTTTGATTGCTGGTGCATTCTCTGCTATTATCTTCGGTACCGTCAAGTACTCAGTTCTTGAGCGCAAAGATCCTTTCAAGCACGCCATGCGCCTTATTCCCTTCTACTTCGCCATGACAGGAGCTATCCTAGCCCTGTTCATTGTCGTTGAAGCACCTACAGCACCATCTCTGGAAGAGTTTGGGGCTGGCAAGGCTGCTGGAATCATCCTAGGAGTATTCTTTGGATGCTTGGCCATCTGCTATATCTTCTTCATTCCATTCTTTAAACGCAAACTTATCATGAAGGATCCTCGCGTCCGAATCTGGCACGTCATCTTGGGCCCCCTGCTTCTCAGGGAGACTACCACTCTTTTCTGGCCAGGCAAGGGTAACGAATACGTCACCGATTACTACGAGGATGCCTACGGCGAAGTCCATGCTGGAACCAACGCGAAGCAGGCTGTGACGAATTCGACTAACGACGATGAGATCAAGAAAGTTGATGCAGGATCCCCATCCGGCTCAGTGAACAACAATGGCGTTCTCCCCAGCGACCCAGAGAAGACAAAGCTAGAGGAGAGTGTTAGTGCGCCTGTCCGAAAAATGAGGAAGCCAGAGCCTTACGAACGCTGGATTATTCCCGTCAAGCATCTCTCATGGGTTAACCCTCAGAGGTGGTGGGCATACACCAAGTTCATCTTCCTCCGAGGTGTCACGTGCGACGTCATTACGCACGACAACGACCTTTTGCGCGCTATTCACTCCAAGGCCATTCGTTACGATGTTCGCGTCGAGCATCTATGGACCTACTGCCAAGTTGTCTCCGCCATGATGATGTCCATCGCTCACGGCTCTAATGACGTGGCCAACGCCGTCGGTCCATGGGCCGCTGTTTACCAGACATACCAAGCTGGAGAGGTTGCAACACGCTCCCCTACCCCCGTGTGGTTCTTGGTTGTCGCTGGTCTCTTACTCGGTCTCGGTTTCTGGTTCTACGGATACCACATCGTCCGTGCTCTTGGTAACAAGATCACTCAAATGTCGCCAACACGTGGCTTCTCGGTCGAACTGGGCGCTGCCGTCACCGTCTTGCTTGCCTCTAGACTTGGTCTTCCAGTATCAACAACTCAGTGCTTGACCGGTTCGGCGGTCGGAGTCGCCTTGATGAACTACGACCTTGGTGCCGTCAACTGGCGCCAACTGGCTTTCATCTTCTCAGGATGGGTAAGGTTCCTTCACATTACTCTGACTTCTTATCTCTAACAATTCTAGGTCATGACCCTACCCGTTGCTGGTCTTATCTCCGGTCTTCTTTGCGTCATGGCGCTCAACGCTCCGAGCTTCTAATCAGCTCCAATATGGCATGAGTCCAGATCGATTCTTGATGTGTTTCGAGAGCACATTCCTGTAAACCAAATTGTGAAGGAAGTACAAGGATACCCACAGGTGAATAGCATCTGTAAAATCAATCTTTATGTTTTGTGTATCATCTGCTCGTACGCCTCTTGCTCTTAGCATCTCCAGGGAGCATCACAAATTCGCGTGACTTCTTTGCTCGTGGAGACGAGGGACAGTTATCATTCTAACATGACAACGTCTCCCTTCCTAGTTTCGTCCTTCCAAACGAATACTGCAAAATATAGCGCAAAAATGCAACTATGAAAGCAGGAAGCATGGATTACAGTAAATGGCAGATTGTGGTAAGTGATGTGCGATATAAATCCATGTTCTGGAGATATTCCATGACAAAGATACACAATTTTAGAGTTACACATTTCAAAAGAGAACCCCACGATTGTGAGAAAACAAGCAAGGTATAAATTCGCTTTTACACTCTTCTAATGACTGCTCGTCTAATCCTACTTCAAAGAACACAACAATGCCGGTCCTCCTTCCATCTCTCTATCTCGCCTTCCTGGCTACTCAACTGTATGCACTGAGAATTCACTTCCTGCACCCACCATCCGGCCTCGTCTATCCAACTTCTATCCATGTACTCAAATTCTTCTCGGTCGTAGCTGGATCCCTTTCCTGGACGCTGATCGTCTCGCTTCCAACTTCCGCGGCCATTGGCACTACGGTTATCATTGCCTTCTTCCCCAGCAGCTCACTGTTGTTAACATGGACTGCACTGACAACCTTCTCCCGCACCTTCTCCGTGACCTTTGGCAGTGTGACACCAAAGTACATTGTTAGCGCGGCTCCATTCGCACATGTTGGGCATCCAACGTATATCTCTTATGCATCGGAGTTGATGGGCGCTGTCCTTTATATTGGCTTCTTATCTCCCTGCATGCTCTTCCAAAGGAATGGATATTGAGGGCACCGGGCTGTCGATGCTCATTCGCTGTGTGAGTCTTGTGACAATGGTTGCGGGGTTTATGTGGTTGTATAGGAGATGAGCAAAACTGGAGGAAGAACAGTTTATGAGGAACCAAGAGATTGCGGGTGAAGAGAAGACGGTGGAGGACATCAGATTGGAGTATTAAGCGTACATCAGGAGGGTGAAGAGTTGATGGATCTCGAAGGTGGTTTGAGGTGGCTTAGGAAGCGGACGGAGATATACATGCTGTGTCAATATTGTATTCCATTAAATTACTGTATAATGCTATCTATACAAATGTGGTAAGAATTATACTTTTAGTGGGTCATGCAATTTCTCATCTTTGGTGCATATCGTCAATCATGCCATCTGACTATTTCGGTGCGCTTCCATCCTCGCCTCGCCCTCTTCCTGCATCTGCTGTTGCATACGCGACTCTCTCCTCCTACCCATCTCTTCTTCAATAGCCTGGTTGGGTCCTGGTACCAAGCCCCATGGCCCTTTGCCAATCTTAGCACCCTTATACTTGACGGCTATTCCGACGCATACAGGTCCAATGATTGTATTCAACAAGATAGCCCAAATGGCTGTTATGAAGCCCTGCTGAGAGACGTAAGGTGTGTTGTTGTAGCCAATTTCTACAATTAGCAGACCAATCTCTCCACGTGCGACCATGGCCATGCCAAGCAAAATCATGGGTGACACGGAGGATTGTATCGCAGCTTTACGGGACGGTGAATGAGGAGACGATTTGACTTTTTCGAGCGAATTTCCATTCTCGGCCGCGGACTCTGCTTGTGCTTCGTGCGCTTTCTTGGGGTCATGTTTTGCGGCAGCCCAAATGGGTATCCATGCACCCACGATCGCCTTGCCAAACAGCATGAGTAAGGTGTATACAACGCCTCTCCAGATGGCTTCTCCAGTCCAGAGGTCTAGGAATGGAATTGCGAATCCTATGCTAGCGAAGAAGAGGGGCGCTAACACGTACTGCTGTGCGTCCAAGCAATAGACTTCGAAGGTATGCACGAATGTAGGAGATTTATCTTTGGAACGCTCGCCTTCCTCCCTGCTCATGACCACGAACGGACCTTCCGGATGTGTTGAAGGAAGATACGTCAAGAACGCACCTGCGAGAAAAGCTCCGAATAGAATGGAAGTTCCTGCGTAGGCAGCAATCGAGATGAAGGCTGACAAAACCAGAATCATCAGTATGATGTTGGACAAGTGGTCAAACTTGTGAAAGTGCTTCTCAATGCATCTCCGGAAGATAGGAGCGAAAAACCATTTGGTGAGGACTGGGGTGAGTATCGCCATAGCCGCAGATGCGACGATAGGTCGGCCAATCAACCATCCCAGGTTGACGTTGCCTCCAGAAGCGATACTACCCAAGTCATGGATGACACTGGACATGACGAGACCTGTGACATCGTCAATGACTGCAGCGCTGACGAGTACAGCGCCGACTTTGGTTTGACTGAGATCGACGTCCTTGGAAGCGCTTGAGATGACAGCAAAGGTAGTGCCCAGGCTCGTGGCACTCAGAGCAGCGCCGATGATGAACGTCTCAACAGCGCCGTAGCCGAACCCAAGATACAGCAAGAGATAGCTGAAACCGATTGGACACAGAACACCGGTAGCAGCTCCACAGATCGACAATGTGAAGTTGGCCTTGAGCAGATCCAAGCGAGTGCTCAAACCACCCTCAAAGATAATCAAGATCAAGCCAATGTAGCCAAGATATAGGAACGTTTCTAAATGCCGGGGTACAGATTCAGTAAATGTCGCAAATGAGCCATCCTGTGCAGCAGGGACACGTACCAGCCCAATCATGTTGGAGAATGTTTGCCAACGGCTCGCCGTATATGATGCCTACCGCAATCGGCCCAATGATGCCGGCACGAATAGTCTTGGCCGAAACGTACTCGGCAAGCCATAAGAAGGTGAAGAAAGATACCAGGATAAGAATATCGACGACTTAAGCTTGCGTTAGTTGAGATCGACATTCCAGGGAGGAAGGTGGACAAGGCGACACGCTTACTTTCGGGCTCGTGATACTGCAGAAACGGCGCGGTGTCAGAACTCGAAGACGACATGCTAGGTTGGAGAGGGTGCTGAGAGGCTGGGAGGTCAGCAAGCAACTGCTAAGGCGTTGGGAAACTCTCGGCTGAAGTGAAGAAGCAATGGACCCTGGTGCATTTTGACGACGTCATCTTGAAGGCCCGGTGCTGACCACTTCCAGCCTACGAGCTATGAAAACTCTCAACGGCCAAGACCACGTGCAAGGACTATAGTGTCATGATAGTGGCATCTCGCCCAGTTCGCAGTAAATCTACACGCGGCTCCGGCATCTCGATCCACACTTGTCTTCACCACCGCGTCCGTGCGCCGGGGTATCTCCGCTCAGTCTCGACTCCGCCAACCTGCACGATGCACCCTCAGAGGACCACTCACATTCAAGTCGGGCAAGGCTTGACGCTCCTAACGCGAAGCTTGAGTCTGCGAAACGCGTATCGTCTGCTCCACCGCGGCATTGAAACGGCAGGTTCTGCATGAGGCCACTTGGAGAGGCAGGACCAAGAAGATCCTGAGGTGCCAAGGCCATGAATGCCGCGTAGCCGTGACCTCCCAGCAAACCCCCGTAATGTGATGAGCACTCAGTGGCCATCTCCGTCGCCAAGGGTGGAGAAAAGTTTGCTCGCTAACTTGGCAGTGGCCCTCTGAATACCTTGGCGGGAACTCTCGTGACGCTTGGCATATCTTTGCAGAGCCGTCTTCCCACACCGACTTCCCCACTGCTCAACATATATCTTGAAGATATCTAGGACCTTTCCACATTTCCTCCTCTTTCCTACCACCAACCTCTCGTCGGTATCTTCACGTTCTCGCTCCAAGTTTGCTCCAAACTTTGCCAACACTCTTACATCGTCAACTCCAAACCCACCCATACAAACCTTACAACTCGCCAATCACGGCGTTGAATTAGGAGGAGTCTGCACCCCCGCCCCGTTCTGAAGTCCTCTATGTATACTACACTCAACACCCAATCCAACAAATTTGTCCACGTGGCCATAGTCCGCGGGAGAAGAGTACGCAGAAGGCTAGAGCGTTGATCTCAGTCTCGTCTGCCGATATCCGTATACACGCAATCACCCCATATTTACAGCCCGACTACCGAAGACCCACCTCTTCCAAATAATAAAAATAATCCTCGATCATGGGGAAAAAAGCAACAACCCTGGAGGGTCACGTCAGTGGCCAATGCAACAAACCCATGTCACTGCCCGCTCACAGCCTTACGCTCGAACAAGTCAAGACTGAGCTGAAGACTGAAGAATGGCATGGTCTGGACGACGCCGAAGCCAAGCGCCGTGTCGATGAGTATGGCTCCAACGAACTTGGTGAGGCTGAGAGCGTCTCGCCAGTAAAGATTCTGATTGCTCAAGTCGCCAATGCCATGACTCTAGTTCTCATCATGGCTATGGCCGTCAGCTTTGGTATCAAGTCTTGGATTGAAGGCGGTGTCGTCGCCTTCGTCATCGGACTGAACATTGTCGTTGGCTTCTTTCAAGAGTGGTCTGCCGAGAAGACGATGGATTCTCTACGATCACTCAGTTCACCAACCGCCCGTCTCATTCGTAGTGGCCAACAGGTCACAGTACCCTCCGCTGAAGTCGTTCCCGGAGATGTCATTGAGGTCAAGGTTGGAGACACTATCCCTGCCGATATTAGGGTTTTTGACGCAGTCAACTTCGAGACTGACGAAGCCTTACTTACCGGAGAGTCCCTTCCTGTTCGCAAGCAAGAGGACGCTACCTTTGATGAGAAGACTGGGCCTGGTGATCGCCTTAACGTCGCCTACAGTTCGTCCTCGGTCACCAAGGGCAGAGCCAAGGGAATCGTTTTCGCGACTGGCGCCTACACTGAGATTGGCGCCATCGCTGCTCAACTCCGTGAGACCAAGTCGAAAGTTCGACCAGTCAAGCGAAAGGAGAACGGAAAGGCAAAGCCACATCGTTACCTCGAGGCTTACACACTTACCACTACCGACGCCATCGGTCGCTTTTTGGGTCTCAACATAGGAACACCTCTCCAGAAGAAGCTTTCCAGGCTGGCAGTATTGCTCTTCTTCATCGCTGTTGTTTGTGCCATTATTGTCCTTGCAGCCAACGAGTTCAGTTCTCGTCAGGAAGTCATCATTTACGCTGTCGCGACAGGCTTGTCCATGATTCCAGCTAGTTTGGTCGTTGTGCTCACAATTACCATGGCAGCGGGCACCAAGTCCATGGTTAAGCGAAATGTTATCGTCCGTAACCTCAAGTCCCTAGAGGCTCTCGGTGGTGTTACCGATATTTGCTCCGACAAGACAGGAACACTCACCCAGGGTAAGATGATTGCCCGTGGTGCTTGGATCCCAGGCGTTGGAACGTATACTATTGAGGAATCTACCGCTCCGCAAGACCCAACCGCTGGTCACGTCCGCTTTGGATCCGCAGCTCCTAGCAAGATGGACCTCAAGTCTGGAGGTGATGCTTGCGGTGAGCGTCTCTCTGTCGACAAGCTTGAGAGCCACAACGTCGAGGGCTTCGGCGAGTTCCTTAAGGTCGCGTCTCTGGCTAACTTAGCTGCCGTCAAGCAAAACAACGAAGGTACGTGGGAGGCCCACGGAGATCCCACTGAAATCGCTATCCAAGTTTTCGCATCTCGATTCGGTATGAACCGTAGCCATCTCGTAAAGGGCGATTCTGCTACGTGGGAGGATCTTGTTGAGCTTCCTTTCGATTCCGACGTCAAGCGCATGTCCGTTATCATGAAACACGCAAGTGGCAACTACGCTTTCACCAAGGGTGCCGTAGAGCGCGTTATCCAG